AGCTCTTAGATACTATTATATCTAACTATAGTAGCTAGTTTATTAGAGATTTTTAGAAAACCTTTTATAAAAAATTAGGTATTACTTATTAGGTATCTACTAGCTACTATTTAAAAACTAATAGTATTACTAAAAAGATAAATAGTACTATAAAATCTTACTTATAGGCCTATATTAATTAGAAATAAAATAACTAGGTACTAATATATTTTACTACTTAAATTACTATTAAAGGAAGAAATATAGTATCTACTAGTATTAGCCTATTCTTTCTATAATATAGATATAATATAGATATAGTATAAGAAGATATAGAATAAGTAATCTAGTAATAATATTAAAGGCCTAATAATCTAGAAAGGTTAGCTAGAATACTTATTATAAAATTTATAGAAATACTAAATTATATATAAGTAAGAATAGTAGAAGCCTAATAACTCTAAGAAATCTAGGCTAACTACTATTAATAAGAAGTACTATAACTATAAGAAAGAAACTAAGTATAACTATAGTATAGTAAATACTTCTCTAATAGTAGGCTAAGTAAAAAACTAAACTAAAAAAATATAAAGTTTTAGGTAAAGAAAGTAATTTTTCTTTATACTATAAGATTAAATACTCTTTTTAGTATCTACCTAGTATTTTATATAAATAAGTTATAGCTATACTTTAAAAACTCTTTAGTAGAATAAGATACTAATAATTACTAACCTAAGAGTATATTAAAAAATATTAATAAAGAACTAGAAAACTACTAGAAAATTAAGAAAATTATAAGTAAAAAATAAAAATACTATAGTAGAAAATATAGAAAATAATACCTAGTTAAGTAAAAGAATTATACTATAACTTTATAGAAACTTATAAAAAACTTTAAAAAAGCTAAAGTACTAAATAGCTAGTTAGCCTTTTTAAAAGATAAATAAAATAAAATAGGTAAACTACTAAGAAAGTTTTATAAAAGTTTTTTTAATAAACTATAATAATACTAGAAGCTTTAGTAATAGTAAAGTATAGTAAAAAAGGTAGTAATTTTAGTAATAGTACTACTAGAAACTATAGGTAGTATACTAATAAGTACCTTTACTAGAGCTAAGAATATAGGTAGCTAAGAAAAAATAAAAAAATTAAAGGCTATAAAAAAATAGGTTAATAAAGATAAAATTAACTACTTATATATAGTAAAGAAAAGAAAGAAATAGTAAGAAGCTAACTAGCCTAAAGCTAGTAAATATTTAGAGTATTTATATTATAAATACTAAAGAACCTAAAAAAATACTAATAGAACTTATTTTTAATTAGTATTTATAGCTTAGAAACTATTTTTTTACTTATTAATATACTTATTAGGCTTACTATTACTAGTAGCCTTAAGTTCTTAGAAGATAGTATACTTAAAAATAATAAAGACTAAACCCTCTTATCTAAACTAAAAAAAATAATTAAAAAAGCTAATAGTAAAAGCTTAAAGGCTACTATTAAAAGAACTAAAAGCTAGAATACTAGTACTATAGCTATAAAGTAGTAAAGAATTAAACTTAGTAAGTAAGTAGCTTAATATTTAGAATTTAATAACTTTCTTAAAGGCCTAAGTAATAGAGTAGGTCTAATTATTAATAGTAAAAGCTTAAAAAACCTATAAATTAGCTAAAAAAATAGGTAAAAAATAAGGTTTTAGATACTAAAAAGAAGACTTACTAAGTTTATAAAGCTTTAGTTCTACTTTTAAATACTAGTATATATTAAGCCTAACTTATTAGTAATTTTATAAAGTAAACTTTTAGTAACTAAGTTAAAAGTATAATTATTCTAGTACTTCTTTTAGCTAGAAGTAAGCTTTTAAGCTTTATTCTAGGCCTCTTTTAAATTTTAAATAAAGTTCTTATTAATATTCTTAAGTAACTTAAAAAACTATAGGTTTATTTTAATAAGTAGTAAAAGCTTATAAATATAAATAATAGTAAGCTTAAGTTTATTAAGAATTTATAAAAATATTAGCTATAAATAAAAAAAAGAAAGTAATTCTAGTAAACTTATAATATAATAAGTAGAATTTACCTTAGTAAAGTAGTAATAGTAAGTAGCTTTACTTTTATTAAACTTATAAATTTTACTTTAAGTAGCTAGATATATTATATAGTTAATATAGTAAAAAGAGTTAAGCTTACTAATAAAAAAGATATTAACTATAAAAGTAAAGTAGTTAGTAAGCTATAAAGTAGATATCTATTTAAATAATATTAAAAAATAAGTAAGAAAATAGGTAAAACTTAAATAAGAAACTTATACTAGGTTTTTTACTAAATAAGTTAAATATAAATATAGAAGTAGTAGTAGAGAGCTTAGCTTTAGCTTTAGTAAAATTAGCTCTTTAAGTATTTATTTTAGCCTTCTTCCTTTTATACTAGGTAAGTATAAGAGTAGTAAAGGTAAACTACTTACTACTAGAAATAGTACTAGTATAAGTATTAACTATATTAATAAAGAAAAGTAAGAAAAGTAAGAGTATATATAAGTTAAAGCTAAAAATATATATATAGATATAGGTAAAGGTATTAGTAATAGGTTAATATATTATATTATAGTAAAGTTAAAATATAAGAATTTTTACTAAAGAAGGGCTTATATAATAGGCTAGGCCTAGTAAAACTTTAGTAAGTAAAGCCTTAAAGCTTAGTAGGCCTAACTACTAATACCTATACTACTACCTATACTTTAGAAACTCTTAGTATACTACTAAAAGAACTATAAGTAAAGAAAAACTAGTACTATAGATTCTTAGTAAATTTATTTAATTTATACTAGTAACTAGTCTTAGAGTTAGTCTCTTATAATAAGTACTATAGGTAGCTTATTCTATATACTAGTTTTTAAAAACTTATTAAAGAATACTATACTATATAAAAGCTATTACTTAAATAACTTTTACTACTTATATATAGTTTATTACCTTTAAATTTATTATAAGGTTAAATTAAAAAAAAGGTAATTAAGTAACTAGTTAATTAAGCTTTAATATATAGTATTTCTTTAAGTTTTTTTCTTTATATATTTTTTCTAACTTTAGCTTAAGTATAGCTTTAGTAAGTATTTTATACCTATTCTTATACTTATAGTATTACTAATAACTAACTATAATATTCTTTTTACTATAAAGCTTAACCTATACTTATATAAAGTTTACTAATATTAATCTAGTATATTATAAAGTACTTATTATATATTTTAGCTTTTTTTATTATAAAGAGTATAGTATATAGTTATAAGTATTTATTTCTTATTTATTACTATTTATTTTACTATTACTATTAATATTACTAGTATTACTAATATTATCTTTATTATTATAATTAGTATAGTAAGAGTTTTAACTATAAAGTAAGAAACTTAGTAAGTTATTATTATTATTAGATAAAAATAGAGAAAGTATAATAAAATGTAGGTTAAAAATTAGACTTAAAAGTTCTACTAGTACCTTTAGTAGTAGTTATAAAGTACTATAATTATTAGTACTAAACTTAAATAATATATTAAACCTTAGGCTTTTAAATAGTTATATCTTTAAATTAAAATAGTAATATTATAATAATAAAGTACTAGGTTAAAGATAAATAGAATTACTTTTAGTAATAAAATAAAGTACTACTAAACTATAAACTATTTTTTCTTAAATACTTTAGCTAAAATAGCTTTACTATTATTTTATTAGCTTAAAAGTTTATAGAAGTTTAAAAGAGTTAGAAAGAGATTTAGTAAGGCACTAGCCTTATACTAGGCTAGTTAAGACTTTAGGCAAGGGCTAAAATTTTAGCTAGACTAGGCTTCTAATTTATAAGATAACGCATTTGTATATAAAAACACCGATCCCACGCGAGGCACCAAAAAAAGACGGACAAAAACATACAACAGCGGGAATTCCCTTGTTGTCACCAACCAAGGTACTAATCCGCCGGTACGTTGCTTAAATAGGGCTGAGCGAACGGGAAGCCTTGTTTTCAACGTCCTATGGTCGTATGTGGAAGAACAGACCATGGAGCTTCCCTCTATTGCCATCACCGTTCTGCTCCCGATCCGCATGTAGACGAACATCTCAGCGGTAGAAGACAGGTTTTTGAGTACCAGAAATTCATAGTTGCGAAATGCCTTCGTCACCTCATTCCAGGCATAGCTTGTTTCCGACCATACCACGCATGTGCCAAAGAAGAGTTCGCACACCGATCCACCCAATTTGCTAGGAACAACCGACACTAAGCTTCTTAAAGCAGCATCACATAACAACAACGATCTATTAGGACTTTGAGAAAAACACTAGGTGCAACGAAGAATCTGCCGTTTCGTGTCATCACGCCTTAGCAGAGGACAGAGTGTGAGCGTGCGAGACTCCTTGGGTGCGAGGATATTCCATAAATCGCCGACGGACTTAGCCTCTAACTATCAAAGCTCTCCATAACACTACTATGGTTAGACGACGGATCAGCTAAAAAGATTTATTTACAATTCAGTATGGTCGTAGTTATTCATCAAGACTCTGGCTGCCACTTAAAAGAAAATCTTGAACAGTGATCCCCATGCGTGCAACCACTTTCGGAAGGCTGACTGAGCTACACCCTTGCAAGCACCGGTCAACGCGCAATAACGATACGTCCTTGATCCCAAGGCCACATCTGCAACCGCTACCAATAGTATGTGCAGGCTTAGTGAGGTGAGGGGTGCGTGCTGTTGGTGACCAAATCTCGAGGGATTATAAAAAGGCGGGCAATCGCCCATCAGGCTGTCCAGATCACTCACTCCCTGAACGAACCTACGCTGATATGCGAGCCTCGATAGCATCTTAGTCCAGCTTCGAGAGTGGTGACAATGACCGGAGTGAGCATATACTGGAGATCGATTTGGACAGCCTCGAATCTGCCCGGACTGTTCTTGCGGCAAGGCGGGCTACAACCTCCCATCTCCAAAGCGAAAATCCACCTGCGCGGTAGGACTTCGACATTGCTGCTTCTATGTTGTATCTTCCCAGCAATGGGCAGGATTCAAAGCTCCGGATAATCACCAAATCACCTGAGTCTGCCAACATCCAACATAAGGAGCGATGGCTGTGAGTGGCGTGGAATGATTGGTACCATTGAAATTGCTAAACATGATCAGACACTTCGCAACGGAGGCCATCTATTTTGAGGATTTTGAGGTAATTTGCCTCAGTTAGTTACATAACATGTGTAAATGTGGACTTACCAAAGGTCGTCAGAGACTCGCCCTCAACCTCACATTTGAACACCATGCCGACTGGGTTCCGGTTGTTATGTACTTGCTAGATGACATCAAAGATAACCATGAATGTTCTCCGGCCTACGGAAGTTACATTCGGCCAGGAACTGTCGTCAGATGCGATGGAACTGAACGACACCACCGCGACAAGCCCGACGTGTCTGCTACATTTATCTCCTTTCCCTTCTTTGACGTTGGTGAAGGAAAACCGCTTGACGTGCCCATAGAAGACTCACTTCATTTGATCAGAAGTCTGTTCCAACAGTTCTATCCACAGGAACTTACTTATGACCGAGATGATGATCAACAGTTCCGAAGATTCAGGCAAGCCAAGCCTTGCCAGTACTTGCGTACACCTCAGCTTTGGATACTGGCGTTGAACTCTACAACAATCATCACATGTGGACCGACATCCTTTGCACATATGTTTGGGGACTTCGTCGAGATAATCGCAGAGAACAGTCTTCTAACCACGGGTCCAAGTCTAATCTATGTAACCGACTTCTACAAGCGTGTTACCCATCTGCCCTCAGATCAGTGCAGGTCGTTTCTCGCACTTAGACAGAGTATCCAAGAGAAATGTTTCTCGAAGACCAACGACCATATCGACAACTGTCTTTTATACTTGGGCGAGAGTAAAGCTGAGCTTGACCCTGGATAATGGCCAGGACTTCCGAAGAACTCAAGCACCGCACTTATGTATATACGAATCAGTCGCAAAGGATCAATCACGCCTGATTCCGAGGATACAGGTACAAATCCGTTGCGGATTGGAGCACCCGATATGCCGGGGATGATTGAATATGCAGACCTTAGCTCAGATGACGAATCCCACAAGGGTAAGCGGATGGTGCTTGTTTCTGGCAGATCCCGGTAAGTACTGGTCTTACCTCGACTATTTGCAACATCGCCAACACCTAACTTGAATAGATTCAAAGACCTCGCAAAGATAGATGACCCTCGAGAGACATCGGGACATCTCAGTGCAATGAAAAGACACCTTGAAGACCAAGGATATGTGGTCAATGAGGAACAATCATTGATCAATCACAATCCCTATCTCTCCCGCGAGGAGAAGCCGAAAATATTCAGACGTCCAACGATAGCGGAAGCCGAAACAATGATGACCTTGAACAGCGACGATTCGTCCGTAGATCCAGGGTATGATTCCGAACAATCCACAAAAGACCATCGCGAAGTAAATACCAGGAAGGTGAATGACGAACCAACCACATCCATGCCCAAATATGGGCGTTTCCAGTATGTAGATTCAGAAGAGGAGTGGGAAAGTGAAGTCATGTCAGGCAGCCCAAGTATGCGATCCATCGACTTAAGCCACGAAGATGACACAGTTGCTGGAGCCATACCTTCGAGTCCAGATATGTCCAACGATAGATCTGTTGATCCTCCTCGTCTACCAACAGTTGCCCCAGTTGATCGTTCGCGAGAGAGTTTAAGCAACTCCCCAATGCTTAGTAAAGAATCCAGATCCAGTACCAGATTGAGGTCAAAGCCCGAATACAACCCAATCTACAGTTCCGAGGCTGCCTCTGTTGAGAACTTACCTTGGAAGTCTGAATCAAAAAATATCGCAGTCAGATAGTCAAAACTGCCAGAAGTCTCAGATCAGTCTGGATTTATGGACAGAGTAGAAGAGCCGCCCAAGAGTCTGGACGGGTTAGACCTGAAGCAAGTCATCAGACAGGAGATCACTGCTGCCCTGAAGCGCAATGCCGACGAACTTGAAAGTGAGTATCAGAAACGGCATCAGCAAGAGACGCATGCCAAACTCGCGAAATATGGCTACCGAGAGAGTCAAATCGCAGCAATACTAGACCCAGAAAGCTCAGGGATACTGCAAGAACAGCCAGTCATAACACCTCTGATCCCACCGCGCCTTGTCCGACAACCATCGTACGCGAAGACAAGTGATGAACGTCTCGATGTTGAAATTCTTCGCTATTATGCACGTCAACCTCGTGACAACGGAAAAAAGGGCATGGCAAGAACATTTTAGTATCATCGTATCGATATCCTCCGCAACAAAGTCGTACTCGTGCGAGAGCATCATTCGAGGGTTCTACCTCTATCGCTTCTGAAGACACAAACAGTTCGGTGAGTATCTGGAATATTAGCATCAATGATGTAGAGACTCTACGGCGAGAACCGTCGCCAGACCATGTGACAAAGCGGATTGGATCGGATCTACTAGTACCACCTTTTCTCGCATGGCCTACCACATTCACAGAACTTGACAAAGATGGGCACACCAAAACGAAGGACAAGATTGTATCGGGATCCGAAGTGGACGCAACTTTTAGGATCCAGCTCACGCTTCTTGCTATTAAGGGACGGATATACAAATCACAGAAAGATCGGAGAAATAGGTCGTCGTCATCTGCTCTGCTCATACATAAAGCAAGTACTGCAACTGTGAAGATTTTGAAGCATTGGATCCCCAAAAAGTTGATGCATGAGGCACATCTTGAGCCGATTTCCACGATGAAGACTGGAGATGAACAGCGGCTTAGTAGTTTCTATAAGGAGTTCGCATTCATGCATTTAGCCGTCCAGAACAATGACGTGGACACGGGCACTAAGCTTGTGGTACCACAAGAAGCGCCCCCAAGCCTCAGCCTTAAGTTAATAGCAGCAATACATCTGTTGACAAAGGGCTAGCATGTATTACTTACTCCATTTTAGACACATGATCTATGCTGCTTGTGTTGTGTAGAGGGTGTCTAGGTTTTGGCCTTCAATATTGAAGGTGAAGATTGTGACGCCTCTTACTGGGCTTCCGACATCAGAAAATTAATCGCGAAGGCCTCAAAGCACCATCATTATTGATCGAGATAGGGAAACTCGGGGTCCATCCTTATCGTGAATTATGGTGAAGTCAGTCGTGACTAACGCTCGAGCCATTCGTGTGTCGAGCATCGTTCGGCACAACATCCCTGCGGGCGCCCTCGGTAAACTGTAAAAACGGGAAGTAAGTTGCGTTCTCTGTGGCTCCCATAAGCCGCAAAACTACACATCTAAGATTCGTTAATGCCCATGTGAGGCGTATACTGCTAGAAGTTTAATACAAGATCCCTACACTAAACTTAGTTGTAGTTGTCAAGATGTTGCATGATTTCGCTGCCCCTTGATCCCTGGTATTTCGATTAACCGAGAAGCGCCACAGAGATGAGCATTCATGCCCTGCATACCGATTGTGGCAAGCCGCTGCGCTCACCCGCATTGAACCTTTACTCGTCACCCCACTCTTGAAGTTGTTAGGTAAAAACAGCGATGGCCGTAGCAGCCCGCTAACACGCGTAACTACGCGCAACCCCGCTTTTTGAGGATGTTGAGTCTGTTTCAAGGCTGGACCATGATAGCGAATGTGACCACGATAAGATCGCAGCTTTCGGATCGGCAAGATGTATACATCCGATGGCTCATCTTGTACCCCTCAAACCCCCATCATACACCTGAACGCACCCCCAACCTTCAGTTGAAATCCCAACATCAATATTTTGGACCGTTCACGCTATGGATCCTATCATGTCCGATCAGGCGAATCCGATGACGAGAGGAAGAAAGAGAAGGGAGGTACTGGCAAAGGATAAGGGGAAAATATTTGTTTGTTCGGACGCCGGATGCGGACGCAGTTTCACAAGGGCAGAGCATCTACAAAGACATTTGTTAAACCACTCCGAGTAGGTCTCCTAGCTTCCTTCGTCGTTAGTTTCACTGCTAACATTCAAAGTGGAGAGTATACATGTGGTCGATGCAGGGCTCATTTCAAGCGAAGAGATCTTCTCGGTAAGGCATACATTTCTTCGTTAAATGAAAGATATGTTCGAGGCAGTTGTACGCTATACATGTTGATATTCCATCAATCACGTTCTCATGTTGTAAACTTCACTATTCGTAATGATTTTCTTAACTTCTGTTTGGAGTAGCACATCGCAACTCCAGACACATCTTGAGGCAATACAAGGCAGCATCAAAAGTTCCAGGTCACATTGATCCAGTAAGGCTAGCTTCTACATAGTACGAGGCGTAGAACTATGCTAGAAAAGATCTCCCATATATTGCATCACGGGCAGAGGTTGAGTGGTGAGAGTGTATGAAACCTCGTCGCTAATAAAACATGTAGAAAGACACATTTTCCGTCATCAACAGAAGGACGGAGAGGCTGGTGCCGAAGGCTGCGGTATCCTTAACACACGAAAACGCATGTGGAAGGACAGTACCGGCAGGATAGTCACAAAGAAGCCGGCTCTATCAAAGCAGGACCAAGATTCTCAGCCTATTCCGCCACCACAGGACATCAATCTGCTTCAGTCATTACCCGACTTCATACCTCTCTCATACCACAATGAAGACGCTCCTATATCACCACCTATCTCGAACAATCCGTCTCTCAGGAACCCTTTGGAAGATTTTGACCCAAGCCTCGAATCAGGATTTCCTCCAATTGCTCTCGATCCAAGGGTACTCACGGCATCTGGCTCGTACTCACCCATCGACCAGCAATTTTGGTCTTCCAGCTTGTCACAGCCTGAGCCAGATCCCGTCTTTCCAGTGACATTCGACGATGCTCCCCTCGACGAAATCTTTAACCCAGACACGGCCAGCTCATTTAACAACCCATTCACTACAATGAGCAACTACAATTGGTTGTTTGACATGAACTTGGCACAAGTCGACCAGATTATGCAGGAGCCATTCCCCACGCTCTCCTTGAACACCCATACCGTGCCACATACAAGCCATAGATTTGACCTCCAGCTTGACCACATGAACGTCGACAGGTCTCTGTCGACGGCTAGTCAGTATGACTCGATACAATCACAGCATACTGACTCCCCACAACATCAGCTGTCATCTGCACTGTCCATAACACCGCCTCCCAGCAAACATAAGACCACATCGATTCGGAACAGTCCGGTTCAGCTACTATCTCAGTCTACCACTACCCAGAGATCACTCGGGGTTGTATCCCAGCCCCTTCAAGATGATTCAGTGATTGACATCGAACATCCCATGTCGATGTTGTACCCGTCACGGAGCTTGCCGGTCATAGATGAACTTGCTCGAGCGCAGATCCTTGACCTTATCGACATTACGCAACCCACCATGGTTGATGGCAAGAGCACACTGTTCATCACCCGAGATCACCCTTTGCTCTCACTGTCGTGTCTGCAAACATATTGTGACTTATACTTTACACGCTTCAACACCGTGTACCCACTCATCCACATGTCCACCTTTGACCCCTCAGAGGCGGATACATTGCTTCTCATATCGGTGTTACTTCTCGGGGCAACTTATGGGGACAAAGAAACACATAAACTTGCGGTACGCCATTATCTCAAGAAAACAGTAACGTATGCAGCTGACCAAGTAGGTGTGCGTCCACGACGTCCTTCGACCACAAATCTTTGCCAATGCGGGCTTCTCTTCTAAGCCAGATCTATGGGTGCTCCAGACAATATTACTTGTCGAATGCTTTGGCAAGAGCAGAGCAGGACAAAAACAACACGACATGTCTCATCTATTTCACGGTCTACTGATCAATCTCATTCGTCGAAGCGACTGCCAGAGCGTTCGCCCACCAACTTTGGAGGATGCCACCGAAGATCTTGAGGATGATTGGCAGACATGGTGCAATGCTGAACAGAAGAAGAGGTATGTCAATGATGCGTCCATGCAAGCTGACGACTGCTGAACATGGCCAGACTCGCCTTCCTGTGTTTCATGTGGGATACGCAACATGCGGTTCTCTTTTGCCAATCTCTTTGTATGTCGGCGTTCGAACTCCGTTCCGACCTGCCGTGTGATCAATCGCTTTGGTGCATACACCCTCAACTCCCTCATAGAACCCATTCTAACCGACCCCAGGGAGGCAGATACAGCCGAGGCATGGCATCACTTACGCAGAAAGCAACCCAATACTCCTCTCTTCTTGACATGCCTGAAGATGTACCTCCACCCGGAAGCCGCGAGATTGCCCAAAATCATGAATGTGTTCTCCCGCTCGCTGCTTTTGCATGGTCTGATGTCTGTCGCCTGGGATATGCAGCGGCGAGACCAAACGTCTCTTGGTACGTGAAGAATGCATTTCTTCGGCATCTGAGACTGACAAATGACAGGCGTAATTGATACCAACCCTCTCGGAAACTGGCAAGCTCGCCTCGCAACTTCCTACACAGCCTGGCACAAGGATTTCGAAACTTTTTGCACGCAGTATACATGCCGCCTCCCTTCACCGGACCACTACCTCGCCAAAGAATTCCACGTTCTCCGTGCAGCTACACTCGCTCTCTATCACTCCGCACATATTCTTCTTCATACTCCGTTCCTAGACCTGCAAATTTACGCAGGTGCGCGCCACATCCTCGGGCGCCCGGTGGCTCGCCATGACTATGCACGTTCCCAGCGCATAGTGAAGAAGTGGGTAGTAGACAACCTTCCGGAAGCAGGTAAAGCAATCTGGCACGCAGCCGCTCTTGTAAACCAAGGAGTCAAAGTCTTAGATGATGGACTCGAATCTACGGATGTTGGCGGTGGACGCCTTTGGCATCATCCGTGGGCCGTGTATTTAGGCACTGTAGTTGTCTGGGGTGTGTGGCATGCGCGCCCTGTATCACGAGACCCGGAAAACGTTCAGGACGACGATGAAATTATATGGGACCCACACGCTGATATGAAGACGCTACTTGATGCAATCTCGAAGAGCGAGCCAGGGAGGTTGCTAGAAGTTGGGTACACAGGAGGTGTTGCAGGAGGGATGGAGAAGAAGGGGATAAATGGGATGACTGCAGTAGTCAGCAAGTGCCTGAGCAAAGTCAGGTGGGCGGTGGTACATGATGGGATGATGGTACTTAGGGGTTTGGTGCAGTGGCGGTTGATCGGGGGTGGAGGTATTGGCGGGATGTAAGGCATGAATGCAGCATTATTGTTTAAGACAATCAGATATCAATGGTATGCCCGTCGAGAATATGACCTCCTTAAGTGCCCTACAATACTGCTCGCACTTCTTCGACGCCCTTCCCCATCATCCCTGTCGTCTCCGAATCCACCTCGTTCCACCTTCTCTCAACATCATCCTCGCAAACATACGTCAACAGCCAACTCCCTACACCGCCCCACCTCCACGCCAACGGATCCGCTTCAAAGTCCAATCCTTTCGCCTTATATTCCCTCCTTCCAACCTTGCCCTTACCATTGAATTGTGCAAATTCAGCAAGCAAACGATCGCGCTCCTGCTGTTCTGGCCCGTCGTGGACGTGGTACAGATATTGTTGTCTATTCCCGCGGGACACGACGCGTTCTGTGCGTTCGCGACGACAACGCTCGTACACCTCTAATGCTTTCTTTTTCTCAGCCGTAGATTTGCTTTTCAGCCTGGCTAGACACAGGCCCAGTACGTGCCCGTCTTCTAGTGACATTCCAGCACCGGATGCGAGGTAAGGGAGTGTGGAGTGGACAGCGTCGCCGAGCATGGTAAAGGCGCCGGATTCGTGGGTCCAGGTTGGATCTAGGCCAGGTCGGATCATAAGGCGCCATTTGGAGACTGACTCGCAGAGAGCTAGGAGTTTGGGGATGCGCGGGTCCCAGTCTTTGTAGAGGGCTCTCATCTCTATAACGTTTCCAGCGAGAGTATTGGCGCCTGCGGGCATATTATCGGGTACTAGTAATACCAGATTGAAAAGCTTGCCACCACGGAGAACATAATTCACTGTCACTCGTCAGCATCTGGTATTCGTCATCTCAAAGATGAAGTAACGAGGGAGGGTAAGCATACCAGCATGAGCATCCGGCCCAATCCAATAATTGACCTGCGGATCCTCCACAAAGCTCCTCAAGTCATCATCTTTCATCATATCCTCTGTATTCAACAACAATCTATACGCCAAATCCCCTGTCAAAACAGGCGGATCTTCCCTGCCAAGAAGAATCTCGCGACACTTGGAATTAATCCCATCAGCCCCAACCACCAGATCCGCCTCATACCTTTTCCCCCTCTCACAGACCGCTGTAGCACCCCTACCATCCTCTTCACAAACAATATCCACAACTCGCGTATTCGTCAGCAATGTAGCCCCCAACTCACACGCCCGTCCAACCAAAACTGAGTGGAGGTTGGCTCTATGGAAATCGAAAAAAGGCGTCCCAAGCTCTCTTTCATACTCATGAAAATCCATGTCGGATATCTTCTCGCCCTTCCACCCAATCATATTGCATAACCGCGGTGAAGTGGCATGCTTGCTGAGCTCTTCCTCCAGACCCCAGGAGATTAGTACGCGCGTCGAGTTTGGTAGACATTGGATGCCGGCGCCAATTTCGCCGATTTCACTCGCACCTTCGAGGATGGTGCAGCTATGGCCCGCAAGTAAGATGGAGATAGCTGCGCCCAAGCCACCGAGGCCGGCGCCAACAATAATGACCTGGGAGTGTTAGATTATGTTGTTCGCTGCTTGTTTGGGGGGTGAGGAATGCGTACGTGGATCTTGCTTGACGCGTCTCTGTGCTGTTGAGGGATGACTTGAGGTTTGCTGGGCGCCATGATGTCACTGAGATAAGTATGAATGAAGATCAGTAGCAAATAGCGAAATGAGAAGCAAGTTAAACAATGATTATTGTCAGCTAGTAAATGTATAAAGTCAGGTTGAAGAGTGTTCGTTATCCATGCCTACGTATCGCATCTAACACGCGTGACTTCGTGATACGTAGATCGGCTCTAGCATTACTTATCGACGCATGGAGGCGTTCTTGGGATCGCCCATGTTGTTACAGGTAAGATGGGGGCTGTTAGGAATAGCGTGTATGGCGGACTGGATGTGTGTAAGACGCAAAAGTGGGGGATGGTCCTACGTGGTTTCGATTGGGTCGGGGAAGTGACTACCCAGCTTTGGTAAGTACAGAGACAGACTACATATCAAAACTGGAGCATAAAATGCAGGAGTGGCACGCTAGTTTGGAAGTGCAGAGCACGATTACGGGCAGCAGGATGGCTGAGGTTTGGCATCGTTCGTGGTTTGCAATATCTGCTTAGGCGTATAAGCTTGCAAGACTTCAGAAAACCTTGGCTTGCTGAGCGCCCCCAAAAGGGTGTGTAAGCTCTTTGATCAGTTGACGTATGCACACCTAAAGAGTCGAGAGCTGATGGTAACATGTGCGAGATGAAAAGTATTAAATTGTTAAATTATCCATGTAGCTCTGTCCCCTCGCCAGAGCCTGCACTAAACGCCGTTATTGGGTATGCAAAGAACAGAATCTGTAGCGGTCTATATAGGGTCTTCTACATGTCTCGCATGAATTGCTCATAATAATCGTCCATCCATTGTACAGCAGCCATTCCATTCTCTCGGGTGCCATCCGCAAACCGGCGTAAAGTCCCAACATATCCGTCGGGACGTACATTTAAAACGACGACCTCACTCTTATCAAGGCCATCTAACCATTTGTCCATACAAGTTTGTTTTCGGGTATCTTGCTCAGGGATATTGTCAAGGTAGAAAGTGAATGCCGACTCGCGCAAAACAGTGGGCAATTGCTTGAGTTCGATATTGTTGCGGTCCATGTCTGTCACAAGAGAATATGTGAAGACACCACTAATAGGTGTATATCGCTCAGGCAAGACGAACTGGTCGTGGGGCGCAGCGAGAGGTGGTTGGACAGTATATGATGCGTTGCCGGCAGCGGTGATGCGGCCGACGTAGGACGAGTTGCCGGATTGCTGCTGGCACACAGTTTCCAAGAAAGGCATTGCGGCGTGTACGTCATGCGCGAAGAAATATATCCGGAATTGACCCAACGCGGGGATGTCTGTTTGGATATCAACGGGGTTGGCATCGATATAACGTGTGACTTTAGCTGGGGGAAGCAGGAAACCTGGCGTGAGGGAGCCACGACAGTGGCCGTTGGGTGGCTGAATGTTCAAGATGTTAGTCTCGTAGCTAACGCCATATCCACTGATGAAAGCAACATTCTTAGCGAAGTTGGCTGCGAGGGCAACTGGGTCACCGGCATGGAATGCACCCGCATGTTCGTAGTCAAAGTCAATAAGGTCTTGTGCAATTTTCTTGCGTTCCTGCTCGTAACTCTCCAGAAGGCTGGGCTTGGCAAGACCACGGACTTGAAAGTTGAGTTTCCAAGCAAGATTCCATGAATCGTGCATCGAGCAGTTCATTCCTTGGGCTGCTTTGGGACTGTGAGTATGACTCGCATCTCCAGCGATGAAGACCCTCCGCGCTTTGTCGGTGAATTTGGAGGCCACTCTCTGACCGATTTTGTAGCGACCAAACCATTCAACACACTTCCATTCGAGTCTGTAGGGCTGCATGATGGCTTGAGCGCGTTTCTGCACAAATTCCTGTGTTGCCTGCTCTCTTCCAACCGCCTCGGTCGATTCTGGTCTGAGTTCAATGTACAAGCGCGTGAGGCCCCTTTCACGAGGAATCATCAGCACTGATCCCAGCGCCTCCGACTGCACGACCACCTTGCTCCAGATGTCGGGGAAGTCGGTATCAAGTACACCGTCTAGAACACCCCAGACAGCTTCAGACGAGGAACCTACGGGCGTCGAGCCAGGTATGCACTTTCGTACCTTGGAGTGAGCACCGTCGCAGCCCACGATGTACCGTGTTGCGAAGGACTTTTTGGTATGATTCACATTCTGCAAACAATTGACTGTAAGGGGGCGTACGGACATGGGCGTGTACTCGAAATCAACAAAGGCGGTGTTGCGAGAGACGACGGTGCCTCGCTCTCTGAGGTCGTCCTCGAAGATGTTCTCGACCATGCCCTGATGTACCAGCAAGATGTACGGATCGAGCAGGTCTACCACGGGCGGGTAGTGGATCTCGCGCCCAGTGCGGTGCAGTGTCTCATCCGGCGTCGACGACCAGAAGGCAATGTCGTAGATCTTGACGCCCTTGCGCAACAGCGGCTCTGCGATGCGCATCTGGCGCAGCGTCTCGATCGTCTTGGGCTGGATGCCATCGGCGCGGCCTGTGGCGGTACGGTCGGAGCGGTCGTCAATGATCCTCGTCTTAATGCCATAGCGCACAAGGTTGTCTCTGACTGGGTTAGCTGGTGCCGTCCTGCTTGATCCGACTACACCTACGCAAGCATCAGGCCTGCGGGCCCAGCTCCCACCACCAAGACATCGCTCATGAAGCTAGAGTAGTCCTCGTCCTTCACATAGGAGAATTGCGAGGCCGCTTCTGTGTTGGTAGTCGTCGTGGTAGTCGTGGTGCTGCTGCCAGACGTGTGCGTGCGAGACTCGGAGTCAGCCGTCAGTCCAGGAGCCATCTTGTGCAGCTTCGACGTCGGAGGACTGGCAGATGTTGACCGCTTCATGAGGCTCCATATTGAGGGAGCCATGCTATAAACCTGCTGCTTCCTATGATATCGATCGCTGGCCGCTAAAGGTGCGAAAATGGGGGTTCGGGACGCAGAAACGGAAAATATTCAATCCTCTGCTTGACGTCTGCCCCATCTTCATATCATCCAAAACTATCATGGCGTAGGCCAATGCGCCAGTTGCCGTGGGCAAATATTTCTTTTCTGGAGCGAATGGGCTGATTACTCGCGGGTAGCTAGGGATTACTGCGAAGACGTTGGTCACCGGCAGAAGGTGCACTCCCGCGCAGTTCACTAGACCCTGTCTGACCCCCACTATTCATGACCCTCAAAACTTCACCCGCCCCCATAACGATCCGAGGTACCGTGTCGACAGGGCCGTCATTTCCAGGCCATACACTCTGTTTCTAGTCGCGTGACCACGCATGTTTTGAGCGCGATAGAACCCTTTCACAACATCCAGTCTCACCATGACAGTCCCGGATCCTGAGTGGCTGCAAACAGCCACCAAGAAACGCCAGCTACGCGACCAAGCCATTCAAACCTTCGCTGAGACTCTCCAAACTCCAAGCAAGGTATGCATCCCCTCATCTTCACACGTGGCGCACGTGTTGACAGCGCTCCAGCTGCCGCTTGACGGATCTGGCACTTTCAATGATCAATCGCGGCTCTCCGCGGGCGCCATCCCGCAGACGATCTCTTCGGGCGTTTTTAATGCGTCCACAATTCTCGAATATCACATCCGGCGGTATTTAGCCCTACGTACATGCTCCACTCATCGTACCATGCTCACACCATTCTTCGCAGGGCGATAGAAGCTCACAGACATGTAAAGTCTCCGACGGTTCATTTGAATTCACGGCACCCAATTTGCTAACGCGCACAGACGAACTGGCACGTTTACACCCGCTGATCCTATGATGTAACCGAAATTACTGACCGAGATGGGCTAAAGCTTAACGGAAATTCTGTTCGACGATGCAACTAAGCAAGCCAATGAGCTCGACAAGTTCTTCAAAACTCATGGCCGCCTCGTGGGACCCCTACATGGCATTCCTATGACTGTCAAAGATCAATTCGACATCGCGGGATATGACAGCACATTGGGATATGTTGGGCGTGCATTCAAGCCAGCGGCACAGGACTGTGTCCTGGTCGCGATGCTGAAACAGATGGGAGCGGTGATTTTCGCCAAGACCAATCTACCGCAGAGTATCATGGTAAGGAATGCGTACATGGCGATGCGTGAAGTCGCAATAAGCTTACTTTCGGCAAGTGGTGCGAAACCGAGAACCCATTATGGGGGCTCACGACCCACCCAAAGAACCCTGACTTTACTCCAGGCGGCTCGACTGGCGGAGAAGGAACACTCCTATCGCTCGGAGGCACTGCTGTCGGATGGGGCACAGATATAGGTGGAAGCATTCGCATTCCTTCTCATATGAATGGTCTGTACGGCTTCAAACCTAGTGTATGTGCTCCATTTATGAACTGCCTCGGTAATTCTAGCTGCATTTGCTGATTCGCTTCCCAGAGTTCTCGCTTACCATACCACGGTGTTGCTGTCTCCACCGAAGGCCAGGAGCATGTACCGTCGGTGATTGGACCTATGAGTCGTGACATGGAGTCGCTGATTGTTGCTACCCAAGCCGTTATTGATGGAGCCCCGTGGAACTTGGACCCCAAATGCTGCCCTGTGCCATGGCGTTCCACAATCTTCGAAGGCGTGCAATCTCGGCCCTTGGTCATTGCTGTCATGCGAGATGATGGAGTCGTCAGGCCGCATCCGCCTGTGACACGCGTATTGGAGGAGGTCGTGGCGAAATTGAAGCAGGCTGGACATGAAATTGTGCCATGGACGCCCGGAAGTTTGCACCAAGAATGCATCGACATCATGGTGAGTTCCTAGTCCAAGCTCTATCCACATAGCTGACTTATGTATAGGATCAATACTACACAGCTGATGGAGGCGAAGACATCCGAAGGGATATGGAAGAAGGCGGTGAACCTTACATCCCACACGTCGAGGCCCTCGTCAACAGGGGCAAGCCTATCTCTGTTTACTCCTACTGGCAGCTCAATAGGCAAAAGCTTGCTGCGCAGAAGCGATTCCTCGACCTTTGGAATTCGACAAAATCTCCAGAATCCGGCAAGCAGATCGATATTATGCTGGCACCTGTCATGCCTCATTCTGCAGTTCCACACCGCACGTGCCGATGGGTCGGATACACAAAGATCTTCAACTTCGTAGATTACCCCTCTGTAGTTTTACCTGCTGGTCAAGTCTCGAAGGAGCTCGACACTGCAGCTGCCGGGCAGATGGGTACCTACCAACCCCGGAATCCATTAGACGAGTGGAACTGGAACTTATTCGATGTCGATTCGATGGATGGCATGCCGATTGGTGTGCAAGTGATCACATGCCGACTACAAGAGGAAAAGGCGCTTGGAGCAGCAAAGTCTATTGACAAAATACTGCGTGGCTTGACGTAGCTTTGGCAATGTAGGCATATGCAAGGGGTATTTAGCATCCAAGTTACAATCTATCATTCTGTAGGCGAAAGAGAGGGTCGCTGCATGTCTTAGTGAACATTGTACTTGGGTTACGAGTTGTTACAGCGTCAACCTGATCAGTTTCCAATCTCTGTAGAATTCCATTGTTGTCGACTATGATTCATCTTCGCACTTACCAGATTGGGCGTTACTACACGTGTGGACGCGACACGCGCCGATAAGCAGCCGTCGGATGATATCTGACCCACCCCCACCTTCCGATTTGGCTTACTCCACCCCTCTTGCCCTGCATGAAAATGCTCTCCAAGGCTGAGCGGGGTTAAGTTGGAGCTTGATTGACGCTGTATCTATCTCGAATTGGAGTTCGTCCTCGATCATCCCGCGTTGATTTGCATCGCTCTCTACGTTCTACTCAGTATCGTCATCACATTCTTCACCTTCAACACAGATTCCAACCACAATGGGCAAAAAGCGCGTCCTCGTGAGCTACGGTGTCGATGTTGACGCCGTAGCTGGTTGGCTTGGTTCGTACGGCGGGGAAGACTCGACGAGCGATATCAGCAGAGGTGTGTTGCGTTGCTGCTTGCGCTGCCACCATCTCCTGAGCCTGCGTTGACAAAATCCAGGTCTATGGGCAGGTACAGTAGGAACACAACGCCTCTTGAAGCTTTTCGCCAAGTACGACATCAAGACTACATGGTTCATTCCCGGACATTCGCTTGAGACCTTCCCCGAAGATTGCGCTGCGGTACGCGACGCAGGTCACGAAATTGGGCTACATGGCTATTCGCACGAAAACCCCGCGGACATGACTTTCGAGCAGCAGCGCGATGTGCTCGACAAAACGTACAAATTATTGACGAAGTTTTGTGGAAAGCCGCCGAGGGGGAGTGTGGCGCCATGGTGGGAGACAAGTAAGGAGGGATGTGATTTGCTCCTGCAGTATGGTATTGAATACGATCATTCGATGAGCCACCAGGACCACAAGTGCTATTGGTTGAGGGCCGAAGATAAGTGGACCAAGATCGATTACTCGAAGAAAGCAGAAGAGTGGATGAAACCGTTAGTCAAGGGACAGACGACAGGGCTTGTGGAGATCCCAGGTGTAAGTTTACACCAAACATATACTTGAAATGGTTCCGATTGGACGATTATTGACGCAAAGCAGAGTTGGTACATCGACGACCTCCCACCCATGATGTTCATCAAAAACGCGCCCAATTCTCATGGCTGGGTGAACCCTCGCGACGTGGAACAACTCTGGATGGACCACTTCGACTACTTTTACCGCGAGTACGATGAATTTGTTTTCCCAATGACCATTCACCCCGATGTGTCTGGCCGACCACATGTCCTGTTTATGCACGAACGCATCATTGAGCATATCAACAAGCATGAGGGCGTCGAGTGGGTGACTATGGAGCAGATGGCAGATGAGTTCAAGAAGAACAACGAGGTCCCTGAAGGCGCAAAGATGCCAGCGGCGGTTGGAGAGATATTGAAGTTGCAGAAGGAGGGGAAGGCATATTCGGCGTTTGAGTATGATGGGCCAATTCCAGAATAAGCCCTCTCGTTTTTGAATAGCAATGAACTCATCCATATCTCCATCTTGGTTCCAGAAAAACCCCACTTGATGACGACGTGCAACGGGGAGCTACTCAACTAAGTCTGCCAGTGCAAACAAATCCCGCGAGGGCCAAAGATCTTGTAAACCCACTCTTGCGGTATGCCATGGTCTTTCAAGTAGACGCATCCAACGGTTGAAAATGCGTTGTAGAGGTTCTTGGTTACTACACGTTTATCCGCATCGTCGCCGTTGATGAACCTGTCAAACGACACAATGGCTATATCTACAGCCTCAGTCGATTTTCCGTCAATCAACTTTTTTGACCAAAACATAGCGGTGCTGTGGTACTCTAGTGGCCATACCTGAGTCATGCAAGTCATTTCGGGCTGCTAGTTTGAGGGGCGGAACATCTCGATCTTCCCGCACGATACATCGATTCAGTACCCGCCTTGGGCATTTGCCAAACTTACAACTGAGTCGTAAGAGCCGACGACTAGTCGATTCAGAAATACGCCACATTCAACAAGATCGAAGAGATCGATGGCGAAGCTTCAAACCCAAGTCACTGTGTACTTGCAACGCGATGAGACCGCTGCAATAAGGATGGGGTTACCTATAAGGCTTTGGGATGCATTATCACCATTTCGCCTATTTTGATAACATAGACTGCTTGAGCTCTGGAGTACATTCTTCCGTTGTTCGACGAGTAATGGAAGAATTAATGGAAAGTTGGATAGGTATGCGAGCGAAGATATACATAGAGAAGCCGCGCTGCTGAACTTTGCGCAGACCGGACATAATAAGGATCGAGAGGATATAGACGCGAAGCTTTGATGGGGGGAGACTACGCGACCACTACGCGTGACGTCATGTTTATTTGTAAGGTTCGTGACGCGAGATGTGCCGCAGAGTTAGATGGAAAATTTCAGTCGACTTCATCTTGACAGAAAAGCTCTTAGGAGGCGAACTGCTCAAGCTTCCACCAGGTATACCATTGTAGTCTAGATGTTCATTTGACATACACGAGTTGTTTGTGACGTATTTCGATCTTAACGTTCCCCTCTCCCATTGATATTCTCTCCCGTGATGCAAAGTATTGGGTAAATCGGAAATCCTCTCGATGTGAATTGCTTATGTTCTCTGTATCGTGATATTAATCTGATGGAGCTGAATCAAGAGATCGAGTATCGAGCGCCCCTTAGAATACAAGAATCTACCTTAGAAGCCAGAGTCCATCGGATGAAAACATCCTTCAAAGTCACGTTTCACTGGGTCTCAACATCGCGTCTCTTCTGGACTCATTCCTGACTACGAACTCCATCGCTGAAGCGTCTATCTTCTTTTGTTTTCTCCTGATCTCTAACTTGGATAATTTCTCGTTCTGAACCGGTGCATCTGTTTCATATCTTCAAAGTAGTATCCCTTGAAAATGAAAGGGGGTGAGGTTATCATACGGCAAGATCTGACGTCAAGGACCTCCTAGACCTGTTTCTCAGTATGTCTTCGCTCGCTAAAATAACGAACGCCCCTGCTTTTCTTCGTCCTTTGCCAATTCACGGCTTGGAGACTTTCCCATCCTCAACCGGACGTATCTGTTCTTCATCTTCAGAGCGCTGTCTCTTGGAAGTGATGAGCTTTATCCTATCTCTGAGCTCCATAAATTGATGTGACTGGTGCTGGATAGATGGCCCACCATAGGTGGCTAGCAATGAAACCCCACCGACGGCTACAGTTACTGGTAGTGCAATTGCCCAGAAGAGTGTCTGTGTGCTATCCATATCTCTTACATCTGTAGTGCTCATCCCGAAGACGGATGAGACGAACGACAGAGGTAGGAATACGATCGTCACAAGGGTGAAGATTAGGATTGCCTTCAAATTGCCTTCCTCTGCGATGTCGATAATGTGTCGAAGAGCTTCAGCCAGTTTCTTAGCCTCTTTGTACAGGTCTTGAACATCTTCCTCAAACTTTGGGAAATATTGCGCTGTAGGTCCTTTGATTGTGGGCTTTTCCAACCCAACATATGCTTGAATGCGAACTTGATTTGTGATACGGAAGCTGCTACTGTCGAGAACCTCTCTCAAGGCACTCAAGGCATCTCGCTGCTGTGAAAATACGGAAGTTACCACCTCGATTTCCTCCTTTAGAAGGTAGAGCTCTCTCAGGACACGCTTGGATGGTTTTGCACTAGCTTCGTAACGCTGATAGGGTTAGCCACGTTCAAGTCTGGCAACTGTAACAAGATGGACGTACCAAGCGGATCAGTCATTCTCGGTATAGTTCCAGGATCTGAAGATCGTGTAATAGAGGTCGGTTTACAAGTACGCAAAGACTTAGGAGGATCGTACTCGCTGGCGTGGTACGCTTGTGAAGTACTGGATTCAAACTTTCTCCAGTATGTGCCATAAGCATCAACTCATCTCGAGCACTAGAAAGTGCGTTTTCAGCAACCTTCGCAAAGTATTCAACCCCAGTGACGTCTTTCCGTTCCCCAAACAATGCTGGTACATTTGTAGGAGCAGCCGGGGCGACACCGATGTCCTGTGGTGTTCGCACACTGTAAGCAGAGTAGTAGATGAGCTGAAAAATATTCTCCGCAGCTTTTACTAAAGCAGTCGGTAGCAGATAATTTTTACTTCACTGGTCGTCCCCGTTTGCGACGCTGCTTCGAATGTCTACGGCTTTGACGAGTAACTTCTTAGTACATCGATGGATGGCTGTCACAAATTCAAGTAGGCGCTCATACCTCGTTTCCCACTCGTGTGTGGAGATCGACACTAGCCAATGACCCAAATCATTTCGGGCTTCCAATCGAACATCGGCATCGTTTGCAATCTGGGCTTGTTGTAGATGATCGAGCGCATCATCAATGTCCGGATAGTGGATCGACTTGCGGCAAAGAGCGCACTGGTTCATAGGGACATCTAACCCTTTGACTTGGTGCATTTGCAAGTAACTTGTCTCCGGGACATTCTTTATGGTGTAGATGAGGGTATGTCGTCGGTCTAACTCATGTTGCTAATGTTTAATGTTCTCCTTACATGTCTGAAGTAGGATCTGTGGCAGTGAGTCGATGCAGGTCGTAGTTCGACACGAATGATGCCGAACTATACAGTGAAAGATCACAAGAATGCAGCACAACGTACCTTGCTTATCACGTCTACAGAGCCCCAACATCGCTGAACTAGTGTATGATCAAAGTGTTTTTGTACAAACTGAGTTATCAGCTCTTTAAGCGCGGATACCAGAGCATCTCGTTCAGCGCATGATTTCGCCATTTGCCAATGAGTGGCGCGCCTGTCCGCAGGAGAGGTGTCAGTGGCGACAAGAACGTCAGCAGTGACAGAACTCTCTTCCGGGACTACTGGGTGCTCCGGACGTTGGATCGGCGCGCTTCTGCGAGAGACGACATCTGCATCGCTGTCCTCCAAACCACTCTCCTCACCACCTGTGTTTTGGATCTCCTCGTCCGAGTCAGGCAGCTCGACGTCACTGGGGTAGCGCCTAATGATCTCTTGTTCTTCCTCGTCGTCGGCATCCGGCAGGTCCTCTTGCTCTTCCTCTTCATCGGCATCCGGCAGGTCCTCTTGCTCTTCCTCGTCGTCGGCATCCGGCAAGTCCTCTTCCTCTTCCTCTTCATCGGCATCTGGCAGGTTGTCTTGCTCTTCCTCTTCCTCTTCATCGGCATCTGGCAGGTTGTCTTGCTCTTCCTCGTCTTCGTCAGCATCCGGCAAGTCCTCTTGCTCTTCCTCGTCGTCGGCATCCGGCAGGTCCTCTTGCTCTTCCTCATCATCATCATCATCATCAGCATCCAGCGGCAAAGCCAGGTAGCCGTCGTTGTCGTCCGTGAGCCATCCGTACCGCCGTCTCTTGGCGAGCCACTTCGCCCGCAGGCGTTCGTGCCCAGGCGTGACGTTCTTCCTGCTGCAGGGTCAGTAACACTGTGTCAGGATGGATAGAACAGATTTGCGTGGTATACTTGACGATCAGGTCAAACAACGCCGCCCTGTGTTGCTTGTCCTGTGACAGCATTTGCTTATACCTCTTGGCCTTCTTAGATTTGGACAAGCCAGCTGTGGCCTGGACAACATCTTCGCTGATCTTTGGCAGCTGCTTGATAAATTTGGTGTACGCGTCTTTTGCAGCATTGTCTGTGTCTACCGTGCTTTTTCCTTCCTGGCCTCGCGCTCGCACGTTGGCCCGCTGCACAGCCCGAGGCGTGCGGTCTGTGAAGTCGAGGTTTCTTTTGGCCAGGTTGCGCGTAATTCGGTCCTGCTGTGTGGTGGTGAGTGTACCAGTAGTACGGATCCTGCGTTTGTTTTTGCTCTCCGCCATTTTGATCGGACGGGGTGTAGTAGAGCAAGTGATGAATTGTTGAAGTGACGAGCGGTAGACGGGAGAAGTGACGAGCGGTAGACGGGAGAAGCGACAAGCGGTAGGCGGGCGAGATGATAAGCAGTAGGCGGGCGAGGTGACAAGCAGTAGGCGGGCGAGGTGACAAGCGGTAGGCGAGGGAAGTGACAAACGGTAGGCGAGGGAAGTGACGAGCGGTAGGCGGGCGAGATGACGAGCGGTAGGCGGGTGAGATGACAAGTAATAGACGGGCAGGAAGCGTCAAGTGATAGACGAGCAGGAAGTGACAAGTAATAGACGATCAGGAAGCGTCAAGTGATAGACGAGCAGGAAGCGTCAAGTGATAGACAGGAAGACAGCAGTTCCGTTTGTGGCTAGCGTTGAAAGTACATCACTCCTCGCGCCTGTTGGCCCTCGATCTCTTTACCACCGCCAGCATAATCTTTTGTAAGGTTATGCTGTGACATCGCATCTAGTCCATGTGGCTTTAAGGATGCTATGTTGAGGTGGTTGGCACAGTGGTTTTTGGCATTATTGCACTTGGTAGCGACCGCCTGGCAGCGTGTCCGCAGAACCTCGTCCTACTTGGTAGCGACCGCCTGGCAGCGTGTCCGCAGAACCTCGTATCTTGTCTTACTTGGTAGCGACCGCCTGGCAGCGCGTCCGCAGAACCTCGTCTTGCCCCCCAACGACGAGCCGCACCTTGTCGTGGTGTTGGGGCTTTCTACTAAGCCGGCTCACATTCTCTGTACGGGAACTTGAAGGTACGTACATCTGCTTCCCTGACATGCTACGCAGACACTGACACGCATACACTGACACGCATAGAGGAACTGAGTTATAACCCTTCAACATGGGTCCTGTTAATCGTGTAGTTGAGTTGCGTTGCGTTGCGTGCCTGCGTGCGTGCCTGCGTGCCTGCCTAACTGAGTGCACTTGCCGTTTGAGGAATGAGTGCTTTTCAATTGTACCTTCCGTTCCCATTTAGCTTCGTATCCCGTTCTCACTCAACCCAGGTCACTCACCCAAGTTCGCCGCCTTGTCCACCCAAGTTCGCCACCTTGTCCACTCGAGCCCGCCGCCTCGTCCACCTGAGCCTCACCATTCCATCTACATCAGGCCAGCATCAACCTTCGTCATGAAACGTCAGGCGCCAGGCAAGAAGCCTCAGTCCAGGAAGAAGCAGCGTGAATCTCGCACCAGCAACAGCCACACGCCGACTACGCAACGCAAAAACCTGGACACTCTTCACACAGTACGGGTAGCATACGTTAAGTTCGTGAAGCAGGACAAGCAGTATGTTCTAGTTGCACAAGTCCAGCACACAGCTAATTCTTGGGTAGGGGAAACATCTACCAGCCTTTTGTCGACAGGTACATTGCTGCCATCAACGATGGCGTAACGGCCCGCAACGACGACCTCTTCCCTCTAGCCGCCAACATTCTCGACCGACTTGGTGTCAAGAAGCCTACTCCTAACAAAGATGAGGGTCCCGACCTTGATGACTCTGCAAACTCCAGCTCCGATGACTCTGAGGACCCTGACTCCGACTTTGCATACAACTCGAGCCACGCGATGCCTCCGGTCAAGTCCAGGAAGACCTTTGTCAAGTCCAAGAAGACTCCAGTCGAGTCCAAGACGACCCCGGTCAAGCCGACCAAGACCCGACGGATAACAGCAGACGAAGTTTACCAACTCTTCAATGATCAGGTGGTGACTCCCCGAATTAGCTTGTCAGCTACAAATGGCGAATGTGCAAACGCCTGCGCAACCTGTCGAAAAGGTGCCGTGTACGATATCTCATTCCGCCAACTCGTCGAGATGCTTGCGTGGCAATTCATGTCTTTCTATGTCGCAGATCTCGAACCATGGGACAGCTCGCGAGACATTCCTTCGTCAGTCCTTACAACGTTGACCTCTCTAGGTTGCATCTTCGTTAAACCGTTGCTCGATCATTCAAATCATAAAGATTCCTGTACCTTTTGTTTGTGGTGTACAGAACACAAGAAAGTTGAGAAAATTACGTTAAGGTACGGGGTTATAATGGCCATTGGGACGACAAGGGACCTCGACGTTGTTCGGCTGCACCTCACTACACAAGATGACTGGACCCACTTATGCCACCATCCCTACTGCGCCCAACCGGCCCACGGCGTACGAGAGAGTCCACGAGATAACCGCACGCGGAACACGTGCAGACCACCTCGAAGATGCCAGGATAAGGCAGCGTTTATCAACTCCCGTCGGGCGAAATGCACCCACACTCCAACTTGCTACCCGCCTGGTACCAGTTACCTTACATCAACTGAGGCCATCGTCAAGTCAAATGTAGGTTATCCTGCTACACAGCCTCGAACTACCGCTAAACTGTCTGTGCAGATTGCGATCATCAAGGAGAGAATGAGTCACGGGTGTATGTGCGCTGCTCATGCACTGGAGTTTCCTGTTCATGTCTTATTGAAGGCAACTTCCACTAAGGCCAAGTACTATAACAGGAAAGTCAAGACGAAGGTGTGGGACGCGAAGTCGACTAGTCACTACGTCGAGGTATCGCCGCACGCTAGCTCCTTCCAAGAAGCGTATAGGGTTGTTCAAGGATGGTTCGCTGCGATTTATGAACACTACGTTCAGGAGCACTTCATGAACGCGCCATGTGGTGGAGCCAATGCAACAGGGCAATGGTGGGACTCCTTCAGTGCGTGGGAAGCGTCAGAGGTGTTCGTTGCTGGACCTCTGCGAACAGCAATATTCACTGGGAACCATTCGACGAGAAACAAAGCATCTCCAGAGCAGTGCCTCGGCTGGGTGTCCTACTGGGTGTGATGAAAGGACAGGGAAGGCTGGAGTGGGTTGTTGTTGTCGTCGACGCAGACTTTTCGCGCGTAGTGATAGTAGTGTCATAGCCTTGCAACATAATGAAACAAATATCCAATCCAAAGAACAGAACCTAGTTGCGAGACTGAATGAAGATCTGTTGGGAACAGAGAAGGTCAGATGGAGTATGTTTGCGTGGTCATATGAAATTTTTCGCGCTTCGTAGTAGTGATGATATAGCCTAATGAGGCCATGGAATGAATGTTGGACTTTACGTATTATATTGTAATAATTGAACAAATGAAGTGCACAACTAAGTTGGTGAATGGCTCCTGACCGGCATGAACAACAATCGGCATGCAACGTAATATTCCGCATCAAAGCGACGGGGTCGACTCAAATTCCAATCCTGTTCATACAATAGTGTCTTTGATTTGCTGGATGAGAGTCTGATCGGAGGTTCATAACGAAGACCATGCCATGACCAGTTTACCAATCTGAGCTGATCGCACGCTTGTGTTTTCATCAAATCCGGCAATACAACCTGTCAAGTCGTTTCTGAGTGTCTTAAAGACCTCAACAGGTGGATGATTCACTATGGTCTTGGAATTTGATGAGCGAACGTGATGAAGTGGAAGTGATCATGTTCTATGCTGAATTTGACTACTCTAGAAGTGATGAATGCTGATGCAACCTAGCGCCACAAATGCACGAACGTTGACCTAACCAAGCAGAATCCAACTACTTGTGAAATGGGTAGTCAACATATCCTTTCGACGGCGGGTCTGCGCCATAGAATGTGTCACGATCGTACTGGTTCAGTCTCGAGCCCTCAAACAAGCGCTTCGGTAAGTCCGGGTTGGCGATGAACCACCGCCCAAAAATGATAAGGTCAGCATCGCCAGACTCAATTTTCGGCACAGCATTGTCCCGGTTGAATCCACCTGCGGCAAGGAACTTGACACCGCCTTCCTTGAGAACGTTGCGAAAGTTGACGAGCGTGTTGCCGGGAGCCTTGATGGTAGCTTCTGCCTCAACGCCCTTCCCGCCGCTCTTGGTGTAAGCAGAAAGTGCATCCATTTTGGCCTGCTCGTCAAGAACTTCATCGAAGCGTGGCTCGACCCTGATCTTCATTAGCGTCACTTCGGTGGGCTACAACACGCAGCACTTACATGTGCACGTAGAGCGGCCTCTCCTCTTGAGGTAACGTAGCGATCCTCTCGCACAGGTATTCCCAATGCTCGTTCGGGTTGCTGTCTTTGGTATTCTGGAAGTAGTTGTATGGCGATAGACGGATACCGACACGATCAGCGCCGATAGCTTTCGCACACTCCTGGATAACTTCGAGCGGGAAGCGACAACGGTTCTCGACGGATCCACCATACTGATCTGTCCTCGTGTTCACGTTGTCGTGTAGAAACTGATCGAGCAGATATCCGTTCGCTCCGTGGATCTCAATGCCGTCGAAGCCTGCTTCACGCGCTTTCTTCGCTGCCGCGCCCCAGGTCTTCGCTATACCCTGGATCTCCTCGACTGTCAGTGGTCGTGGTAGATGCTCAGCACATACCGTGCCATCCAACCAGCTGCCTCCCATAGATACATTGCTCGAGCTAACTGTCTGTTCTCCAGCTCGGAACGATGGTGGAGAAGCGCGTCCAGTGTGCCACAGTTGGCAAAATATGTAACCGCCCTTCGCATGGACGGCGTCGGTGACTTTTTTCCAGCCCGCGATCTGCGACTCTGAGAAAACACCCGGTACTCCTGGATAACCACTCGCCTTGAGAGGTTAGCTCCACTACAGCACGAGACACTGGAAACCTCACATATTTCGCAATGTCGGTAGCCTCGGTCAATTGCAGACCGCCCTTGCTTGCACGCTGGCTGTAATGCTCAACATGCAAGTCACCTGGTACAAAGACAGCATCACTTTCTTTTATACCTCGCATCCGCGTCAAAGGTGCTTGTACAATTCGGTGCTCAAGGTTTACAGGGCCCAGGTTGAACGGCGTGAAGAGAGCAGTGTCCTTGAGTGGCTTGAAGCCAATAGGAGAGTCCGCTTTCGGCATGTTGGTAAGAAAATCTGGAGAAATGCTGTTTGACGAATTATGAAGAAGTTTCAGAGTTGAAATACGAAAGTTCAAAGGGTTATCAACTTTGCACGCCCGCACTCAAGGTCCTCTCTTGTACCTACACTAATACCAGCCATGATTGCGAATCCCATGTTCGCAAGATGTGTTCCAAAAATGGGGGAGGAGCAGCAATCTTGAGAAGAACATGATGCATGCGCGGCGGCTCGACTGGCCCGCCGTAATCATGCACATGTCGGAAGGCAAGAGTGGGGAAGATGCGGGGTTGGTATGCTTACTCCAACGAGCGGCGGTATTACATCGAACAACTGTAAATATCGCTGAAGAGTCGTTTTCATATCTCAACTAGATTTGTTTCTTGCAGGAGTAGCAGCTTGTTTCGATTCGATCATTTCCGAGACGACATTTCTATACTTAGTCCGACGCCTGTCATGTCTCTCCCCATTCCTCCCTCGTCCGCGGCAACGGGCCGACCGTACCGATCACTATCCGCCAGCGAAGCACTTACGCCACTTATTGCAACAACATACACAACTCCAGACATAATCTGCTACATCAACGGGAGGAGAACTATTATCAGCAATCCAAATCCGACTTGGACTCTATTAGATTACATACGTGCGCAGCCCAATCTCAAAGGAACCAAGTTGGGGTGTGGAAGTGGCGGCTGTGGCAGCTGCACGGTAGTGCTACAAGTAAAATCAGAGAAGAGAAGGATCAAGCATCTGTCTGTGAACGCTTGTCTCTTTCCCCTGGTGGGAGTCGACGGCAAACATGTCATCACCATTGAGGGGCTTGGCAACGTTGACAGGCCACACCCTCTACAAGAAAGGATAGCGAAGCTGCATGGGAGTCAATGCGGCTTCTGTACTCCAGGTATTGTGATGAGTCTATACGCGGTGATCAGGAATTCTTACAATCCCGAGACGAAGAAGTTCCATTTGAGTGCACGTGAAATTGAGATGGAAGGCCATTTAGATGGGAACCTTTGCCGGTGTACGGGGTACAAACCTATTTTGAACGCTGCGAAGACATTCGTCACAGAAGACTTGAAGGGCCAGCTAGCTGAGGAAGACGAGCGAGTTGTCGCGGATTCTGAAAAGTTCGAGAAAGAAATCCACCATATGAAGAGCAGTGGTTGTGTAGGTCTTTCGAAGATCTCTTGTGGACGGCCAGGCGGTTGCTGTCGAGATACGACGTCTGACAGTAGTTCGAATGATAGCAAGTCAGATGCGTCCTCACCCCTGACAGAGATGACAGAGCCGGCCATAAGTTCGGACGATGAACACATCGTTGCAATTATCAATGCCAAAAGTCAATCAAACCAGGACCCTAGTGTTAGCGGAGCAACTTACGCAAAACCTATAAAGAGCAAAGAGCGTGATGCACTTGTTGGGACCAAGACTTCGACGTCGCTCGACACCTCCATAGCATCTTCAGAGAAAGGAATACCTAGGATAGAGCTCAAGGAGTACGTCCCAGATACAGAGCTCATTTTCCCACCGGCACTCTGGAAGTACGAGCAGCAGCCATTGTGTTTCGGTAACGAGAAGAAGATCTGGTTTAGACCAACCAAGCTAGAGCAGTTGGTTGAGCTGAAACATGCTTATCCATCCGCGAAGCTTGTTGGTGGCGCCAGTGAGGTGCAGATCGAAGTACGGTTCAACAATTCCGAGTTCGCTGTCTCTGTATACGTGTCAGACATCGCGGAGTTGAAACACACCAAGCTCCCGTCAGATGCAGAGCTCGACACTGCCGAGGAACTTGTCATTGCTGCAAACACTCCGCTGACTGAACTGGAGGCAATTTGCAAGGAAGTCTACGCCAAGTTGGGCAAGCGCGCCATGGTACTTGAAGCTCTACGTAAACAGCTTCGATACTTTGCTGGCCGTCAGATTCGAAATGTTGCGTCTCTGGCAGGCAACATCGCCACAGCATCGCCGATTTCCGACGCGAATCCTGTTCTGCTAGCAGCAGGTGCGACCCTCGAGGCTGTCAACAAGAAAGATGGCAAAATCGATCTCCCGATGTCAAGCTTCTTTGTTGCTTACCGAACGACGAACCTCCCTGCTGATGCTACTCTCTGCCGCATTCGTATACCTCTTCCTCCCCACAATTCAAGAGAAGTTCTGAAGGCGTACAAGCAAGCCAAAAGAAAAGACGATGATATCGCCATTGTCACAGCCGCATTTCGCGTAAGGCTCGACTCAGATGGTGTGGTTGAAGACGTTTGTTTAGCATATGGCGGTATGGCACCAACCACGAAAGATTCGCCCAAGACTCAGAAAGCTCTCATCGGCAGGCGATGGTTTCATTCAGAAACTCTGGACGCTGCTCTCACCGCTTTACTCGAGGATTACGACCTCCCATACACTGTCCCAGGTGGGATGCCGACCTACAGGAAGACTCTGACCCTTTCATTGTTTTTTCGCTTCTGGCACGAATCTGCCGCAGAGTTTGGTCTCGGCAACGTTGATGATCAGGCTGTAGACGAAATTCATCGTGCCATCTCTGGAGGTACTCGTGACGATTATAATCCCTACGAACAACGCATCGTTGGCAAGCAAATTGCCCACCTATCAGCTTTGAAGCAGTGTACCGGTGAAGCAGAGTATCTTGACGATATGCCACGTCTTGACCGAGAGCTATTTGGTGGTTTGGTCATGTCAAGCAAGGCACATGCGAATATTCTTAGCACCGACTATGAACCAGCGCTCAAGCTACCTGGGGTAGTTGGGTATATCGATCGGAATAGTATTCGCGAGGGCGTGAATATCTGGGGCTCAATCAGGAAAGACGAACCTTTCTTTGCGGAGGACAAAGTGCTATCTCACGGACAAGTCATTGGTATGGTATATGCTGAAACTGCGCTCGAGGCTCAGATGGCTGCAAAGGCTGTCAAGATCGAATACGAGGTTCTGCCACCCATCTTGACTATCGACGAAGCTATCGCAGCAGATTCTTTCTTCGCACATGGAAAGTTTTTGAGGAAAGGACTGGCGATTGACGACAAAATGGAAGAAGCTTTCGCACAGTGTGATAAGATCTTCGAAGGTGTCACCAGAATGGGCGGTCAAGAACACTTTTACCTGGAAACCAATGCTGCACTATCTGTGCCATCAGGCGAGGATGGTGCCATGGAGGTTTGGTCTTCAACACAGAACACTATGGAGACGCAGGAGTTTGTAAGCTCAGTCCTGGGTGTACCTAGCAACCGCATCAATGCCCGCGTCAAACGTATGGGAGGAGGATTCGGGGGCAAAGAGTCTCGCAGTGTTCCGTTTGCTGTCTACACCGCTGTCGCCGCCAGGAAAGAAAAGAGACCGGTTCGGATCATGCTCACCCGCGATGAAGATATGCTACTGAGTGGTCAGCGACATCCATTCCAAGCACGCTGGAAAGTCGGAGTCACGAATGAGGGCAAATTGCTCGCTCTTGAGGCCGACGTCTATAATAACGGCGGCTTCTCTCAGGATATGAGTGGGGCGGTTATGGACAGATGTCTCACGCACTTCGATAACTCGTACGAATGCCCGAACGTTTTCTTGCGAGGTCATGTCTGCAAGACCAACATACACAGCAATACCGCGTATAGAGGTTTTGGCGCGCCGCAAGGAATGTACTTTTCCGAAACTATCATGTACCACGTTGCCGATGGACTGGGCATGGATGTGGATGAGTTGCGATGGAGGAACTTGTATACGCCTGGTGAACACACGCCTTTTTTCCAGAAAATCGATGAAGATTGGCATGTCCCTATGCTACTCCAACAACTCAATAAATCCGCCGACTACGACAACAGGAAGAAAGCTGTCGCAGATTTCAACACCAACAATCGTTGGAAAAAGCGCGGCATCTCCCTCATCCCTTCCAAATTCGGGCTAAGTTTTGCCACCGCCCTGCATCTCAATCAAGCTGGGGCGTATATCAAGATTTATCATGACGGCAGTGTGCTATTGCATCATGGCGGGACAGAAATGGGTCAAGGTCTGTACACGAAGATGTGCCAGATCGCTGCGCAAGAGCTTGGAACTCCGCTCGACGCGATTTACACGCAAGACAGCCAAACATACCAGATTGCAAACGCTTCGCCTACCGCTGCATCTTCTGGCTCAGATCTGAATGGCATGGCGGTGAAGAATGCGTGCGACCAGATCAACGAGCGGTTGAAGCCGTATCGTGAGAAACTGGGTCCCGATGCACCACTCAAAGATCTCGCGCATGCCGCGTACTTGGATCGTGTCAACCTCGCTGCCAATGGGTTCTGGAAGATGCCCAAAGTTGGATATACATGGGGTGATACAAATCTCGAAACTGTTAAACCTATGTACTATTACTGGACACAGGGTGCTTGCTGCTCGGAGGTAGAAGTTGATCTTCTCACGGGAGATCACACTGTTCTGAGAACGGACATTATGATGGTAAGCCCTATGTCTCAGATTGAATCAAAACTGGAAAGCTAACTACGTATCAGGATGTGGGTAACTCCATAAATCCCGCCATAGACTACGGTCAGATTGAAGGCGCCTTCGTCCAAGGCCAAGGTCTCTTCACTATGGAAGAGACTCTCTGGACACGAGATGGCCAACTCTTTACTCGCGGACCTGGCACCTACAAGATTCCAGGCTTTAGCGATATCCCGCAGATCTTCAACGCCTCTCTCCTACGCAACGATAACGAAGGCAAACCCCTGTCTTGGAACCACTTAAGAAGTGTCCAGAGTAGTAAGGGTATCGGGGAGCCGCCGCTGTTCATGGGTAGTACAGTATTCTTTGCGTTGAGAGAGGCGGTGAAGGCCGCAAGAGAGATGAATAAGGCGAGCAACGTGGGGTGGGGATTGGACAGCCCCGCGACGGCGGAGAGGTTGAGACTAGCTGTGGGCGATGAGTTGAGTAGGATGGCAAGGACCGAGAGAAAGGAGGGCGAGACTAGTTTCCTGGTCGCCGTCGCATAACAACCTTTCATTGGGCTATGGTGAAGATAAGCCAGTGTATTGACTTTACGAATGCAATTGTATCTCCGCATCTTATTCGTATTTATTCGCAAGTAACTTTTTGATGGGGAATCTTCAAGAGGTGTCGGAAATTCAATTTAATGTTCAGGTGTAGGAGGCTTGGAGGACCAAGACGCAATGGCCGATATCTATAATAATATAGACAGCATATGGTCTGTCGAATACACTCACATCTTAACACATCAAACAACGTCAAAAAACATTCCGCATCTCAACAGGATACGCTACTCTCATACCTCCATCTCGTTCACTGAACTGCCAAAGTAATACTCGTAGTCCTCCCAATAGTCCTCCCAGTATTCTTCTGCATGCATCTGCATTACCATCTTGTCCGTTTCCAACTCTTCAGCTTTTGCCTTTAGCGAATGCTTTTGTTCTCTTATTGACTTCTTCCTCCCAACAATCGTTCTCACCAAACTCAACGTAGCGTAGAGGGAAAGCGCCGCCAGAACAAATTGGCTCGATATCGGACTCGGCACCAGCATGAAGAAGACCAAATTAGACGCACCGACCATGATCAGAAGGCAATATTCGTCGTCGAACATGCCGAATAAGGAAGCCTGAGTATATTGCATAAACCGGGCGCTGTAGCGAACGGTTGAACTCTTATCGAGATCTAACCATTTCGAAACCTTGGACAATTTGAGGCAAGACCAGATTCTTCCTCGTAAATCGTTGATGGCGAGTACTTTGCAGAGGCCGAATATGAGGAGGATGCTCATCCAGTACAGAGGACTGTCTAGACCGAACAATACGATGCAAAGACCGAAGATGAGCGTGCCGACCAGTCTGACATAGATACTGATAACACTAGGGCCCTCAACGCTCGAAGCATCCACGTCGTTGTCGTATTTTTCTTGGGAAGTCTGAATTATTCCTCGGGCAGCAAGGTCCCGTCTCAGTATGAATTTCTCGGCGAAGCGCTTCGCGTCTATTGTGGTGGAGACCGCGAGCACGCTGTATTCCACCTCAATTTGAGTGAGGGGCAACAGTGTAGTGACAAATGCCCCTGGACGTCTATATTCGTATATCTGACCCTCAAGTTCGTTGACGGCCCAGAAGTAGAGTTCGCTTATGGCATCATTCCTTCGCTCTCGTGTAGCACAAGTTGATGAATATGCGCTGGACGTTGGCGTGCTCGGCCTTGAAGAATTGGGGCTAAAAGCTGACACAAGATGTTGGAGCTCGGTGTTGGTGACAGCCTCTCGAGCATGGGTTCTCGATCTGAACTTAGAAAAGAAGTTGAAGAGCATGATTGTGTTCATGAGCAAGTGGTGGTGGCTGTTGGACTGACTCTAGCGATGTTCGAGTGTTGTGCTTCCAAAAAGAAACCTCTGTCGGAAATTGCGATTGGTGACACTTTTTTTGACTCTGCCCCTCGGTTGGATAGATCGTAAACTGGAAATTAGAGATTGGATAGAAAAGGCCGAACTCAGTGTTCCTATGGTGACGCACACATTTCAAGTAAGAGTGATGGGACGACATGAAGAGCGATACATCCGCTCAAGCAAGCAACATGGTTCATTTGGCAGTGCCGCCTTCTAAAGGGTATCAAAGTTTTCCAGCGAAAGATAATATGAGGAGGCGCTGGACTCTTACGCAGTTGTGGGGTCATGCTTGTCTTCAGATGAAGTACTGCCCGACCCTTGTGCTGCCGCATCGATCTTGTTCTGTGCGAGACGCTGGAATATGTTAAGCTAAGTGCAAGTTTCAATGAAAGTCGCATGCTTACCAGCAAGTTTCTCAGCAGAACCGCGATTGTGACCTTGCCAATGGCAGGAACGTATATCGACGCCTTCTCCTTGACTTCAGGAGTGAAGTTCCTTTCGCTCGAGAAGTTGATGCACACTGCACCATCCCTCATCTTTTCCAAGGGCACCTTGTACTTGTCGCCGGGCACGCCGCTGATGACCACGTCGCTGATGGGCAAGCAGTTTTCGAGTGTCCAGCCAGGCTTCTCGACGACCTCATGTCTCCTCTTACGCAAACCCTCACCCCTTGTAAACTGCTGCACATCAGCGATATCCACACTGTACACACACGCGCCGTCGTTTGCCAATAGCGCTGCCAAAGGCCGCCCAACAACCTCGCTCCTGTTGATAACGGTAATGGTGCGCCCGTGCAGCCTGTTTCCATATGGCAAGATCATGTTGTAGACTCGTAGGTATTCCAAGATCTTGATGACAGCGAGTGGGGTGCAGGGTAAAATGCTCTTCTTGGTGCTCGCGGGATCGAGGAAGCGGATGTTCTGATACATGTTGAAGATGTAGCGGTGAGAGAGCCCTTCAACATCTTTGTCAATGGAGACAATCTGCTGCAAGTACTGGTCTTGTCGGTTGCCGAAGATCGGGTAGTAGACAATGATGCCATCGACGGCAGGGTCGTTGTTCGCGTCGATGAGGGAGTCTTCGAGGAGTTCGCGATCGACTTCTCGCAGGTCAAAGGCGAAGCCACTACGCTCGTCAGCCGCATGTCTGTTTTTTCCACAACATCCCAGCAGCAAGAACTTGTAGTGGATTAGTAAAACATGCTCACTTTTCAGTGCACGTCTTGCCCGTCCATTCTGCGTAGACCCTTGCGGCAGGATCCGCGCTCGACAGGAAGCCAACAAGTAATGGCTTGCGTCCAATGCTCTTCAGACCATCGCGGATCTCTTCGAGAACACTTTTGGCGATATTGTTCGCGAGGATAACTTTGCAGTTGGGTTTCTCGTCGGCCATGGCGGGGACGATGCTCGTTACAAGCAGTGGAAAGAAGATGAACTGACAGCCCTGGGGTCAAGAGTTACGAGAAGACGTGAGCGTTGGACGTGTCGAATCACGCGCTCTTTCTCTCCTTATAAAATCATTCAGTTTCTGTTTCACCACCGCTCCTCTCCCGCAACTGCCGCACTTCTGCGATTCTAACTTTTTCTGCCCCACCATGCGACATCGGCCAATCAGGAGGACACAGTTCATCGGTCCATGGAGATACCTCGGCTGTCCATAGACTAACGTAGACAGGCAATTGCCACCCGCCAAGGCTACTAGCATGGACAGATGAACTTAAGCGAAACATGTTCTAAATAAGTTTAACTTATTAAATTACTTTAGACTTAGATAGCTGTAAAACAAGTTAGGAACAAGTTCTAAAAGTATTTAAAATATCTTTAAAATATATTCTAAAGATATCTCTACAGAAGTAAGGATAATTAGAGTTAGATTAAGGTTAGGGTTTATTGGAGGTTAGGGTTAGATTAAGGTTAGGGTTTGTTAAGGTTAGAGTTAGAAGAATCTATTTAATTTTATCTTTTTTTTAACAGTGTAAAATGTGTTCTGAAAACGTCTAGAATTACTTTAACTAGTGTATAGGCTAGAGTATTGCTAGCTACTTTAAGTGCTTGGCATGGACAGCCGAGGTATTTTCATGGACCGATGAACTGTGTCCTCGCCAATCAGCTCCCTAGCAATACAAACGTCATCGCGTATCTGCGACTTTCCATTCCGAGTAGGAAGTCACCTCCACATAACCCTCTTACTCCTATAACGCGTCTTGATAATGTCAGATATTCAGCAATATCTGCTGGACCATGACAGGAACAGGAAGGAGGCGACAGCGACAGCCCAACGAAGCGCGACGCGTATGCTAGCCGATTGGAGGGGCACGGTGGGATGAAGGCTGATAGAGTGCAGGACTGAAAGAGGGCAATTTGAAGCTTATCGACATCATAACTGAGCTGGGAGAGTACTTCAACAGCGAAGATGGCGCAATTCGATCCAAAAGTAGGCGTGAAACGCAATTATATCTGACCGAGCTAACTCATGGTGCAGCCATATCGTACCTCGCAGAGGTTCTGGCCTCGACTCCGCAAAAAGTGCTGTCTCTCCAGCAGCGTATGTGCCCCTGCCTTGCGAGTTCACACCCACTTCGCACATCCCAGTCCTTCGGGTTCTACCGTGGACCCGCCACACACACGACCTTCAACGAGACGACAAATCGAAAGCTTCGGACAACGCGCAAGTTTGGCAGGCTGACGGACGTGTAGGAAGCCTGCTCTGCGACTACATACTCTCCCGAACAGATGACAAGGAAGGTCTAGGATCCTGCGCGAAGGCGCTGCTGGCATTGGAAGAGCTCGGTAAATGGGACGACGACAGAGTTGTCGGTATCGTGGAAGCGTTACTGAACAACACCCATCCTCTGCGACAGTACAAGCAGCAGAGCGAACGGTATGGCGTTCTACGGTTGATTGATACATTGATGGCAAAATACCGCGAAGTGCTGCGCAGTCACCATAAGTTCACACCAGGTTTCATGTCGCGGTTCATATCGTATTTTGACGGCGAAAAAGATCCGCGGAATTTGATGGTCGTCTTTTCTATACTGAAAGTGCCAATGACGGAGTGGAATGTTGGCGCAGATACACAGGTACGTCCTCTTTCCCCCAAATCTGGGGACCTGTCGATAGCTGACCACTTTAGGACCTTTTCGATGCTGTATTCAATTACTTCCCGATCACATTCCGACCGCCGCCTGACGATCCCTACGGCATCACTGCACAAGATTTGAAAGACAGGCTTAGAGACTGCATTGCCTCTACGCCAGACTTTGCGCCGTATGCCTTCCCGGCGCTGTTGGACAAGCTCGACTCTACTTCCATGAATACGAAACGGGATGTGCTTCAAACAATCACTGCATCTGTAAACGAGTACGGGCCTCGAACAATCGCGATTTACTCAATAACTCTTTGGGACGCTTTGAAATTCGAAATACTCAATGTGCAGGAGGAAGACCTTGCTGAAGAGGCGTTGACAGGTCTTGCCGCAATCGCGAGAACGCTTTCACAATCAGGCAGCGGACCGTTGAACGCTTACCTTAAACCCATAATCAAGGAATGCAACGAGCATCTCGAAGACGCGCCAACTAAACAGTCACAAGCAGCGGCACGCATATTACACAAGATAGCCGATGTGTCATCCGATGTTACTAACATCCTCTTGGCTGGAGTTCTCCCAACACTCTTTCTCTTATTCCAAACGGCGGACACTATGGCCAAGCGACGAGGGCTTCTCGAGGTTCTAGCTCAGCTAATTCGTGCAAATATCGATGTCTATGGTGACTGGCGGTCGATTGGTCCCGCTGGAGATCAAGCGGGAAACAATGCTTTGGCCCAATTCCGCGATCAAGCTCTAGAAGTTATGTCGAGCGGGCTTGAGACCGCCCCGAATAAAGAGGTTTCGTTTCGCTTGGTCTGCCTCGATGGTTTGCTTCAACTGTCGAAGACTCGACAATTGTTAAGCGACGAAGATGTTGGCAAAATCATTCAGCTTTTGCACGCTATTGTCATACATGAGGGGTCATATGGCAAAGACGAAGTTAAAGAGGCAGCAATCAACGGCATTGTTGAGGTCGCTCATCAGAAACCCGAGGTCGTGGTCGAGAAGGCATTCCCAGCGTTCCTGGCGCAGCTTCCTGATTCTGACAAACAAGATTCGAAAGACTACTTACCAACACTAGAAGCCTTTGCAAAACTTGCGGGCGAGGACAAAGTTTTTGACACTGTCATATTACGACTGAAGAACAAGTTCAGCACAGCAGTAAAGGAAGGCGCTTCCCAGTCTTATATCACTGCGTTACTCTCGGCTATGTTGTATGCGCTCAACAAAGGGGAGAGTAAACTTTCGCAAAGCGCAGAGGTCTCGTCTTACTACAAAGACATCGCGTTTCCCCTCCTACAACACACGTCGAGCTCCGATGCATCTCATCCAGCATTTGATGATGAAACGACGCTCGACCTTGTAGGACGCATATGCAACCTCATCGTGAGGTCTCAGTCTATGGAACAGCAAAATGAGGTTGCTGCAGAACTGTACACACTCTTCCGTGGTACCCCGCAAACCGAGCTGCCTCCTTTTAGTACAAGCCCAGCATCAGAAGCGCACAAAACTATGATCGTTTCTACACACCTCCTCGCTTCCTTCCGGAAAGAGACTACCCTTCCTTGCGAACTTCAACTCCTCGTCTCCTCTCTTGCAGATTACGCTCAACAACCGTTCCTTTCTTTGCCTGTCCGCTCGGCCTCCCTCCGCCAAATGTCGCTCGTCATCAACAAGTATTACTCTGCCTCCGCTCTCAGGACATGCATGGACCCGCTGGTTTCGAACTTGGACATTTTCAACCCTGAGAAACTCGACCCACTGCGGATACGCGTCATATTTGCCTGCCTCAAAGGCATTGTACTCCGTAGCAGCCCGGTACTCAATACCCTGTACCCGACATTGCTGTCCTTACTCTCACATCCACAATACGGCATCACAGTGGCGTACGGCTTTACTACACTGTTGCAACCAGATGAGTTGCTTACCAAGGCGAATCATTGCCAGATCTCAGGATTGCACAAGCAGAAGAGTTTCGCGCTATTGATCCCTGCTATCACGCAAGCGTTTAAGGAAGCAAGTGCAGAGACCAAGCCCAACTACCTAATTGCGCTGAGTGGCGCGCTGAGATGGATGCCGTTTGACATCGTTGTCGAAGAGGTCGACCAGCTGGTCACGTTGCTCCTTCAATCGCTTGATTTGAAGGGGGTTGATGTCGTCAAAGAAGCTGCGATCGAAATCCTCACCTCGACCCTCGTCGAGAAACCAAAGAGTCTGGAAGAACACACGGGTAGCCTCATCACACGACTACTCGCCAGTTCTACAGGCGGGAAAGACAAGGACGTAGCGACTCCGCCAAAGGTTCGTGTTGCGGCGTTGAAGTGCTTGACACTGGTGCCGGAGAAGTTTAGGCAGGAGAATGTACTGCCATACAGGAGGCAGGTTGTCAAGAGACTCACAGCTGCGCTGGATGATCGGAAGAGAGAAGTTCGGAGTGCGGCAGTCAAATGTCGGGCGAAGTGGTTAGAGGTGGATGAGGCGGGTGATGATGATTGAGATTGTTTGTCACAGGATGTACGGTTGAACACGGCGTTGCTGGAGGCACGATACGCATTGCATGTCTTGGAAATCACGAGATCGCATGTAGGGTGTAGATACAACAAACATCGTTATTGTCAAGCGCTTTTCAGACGCCCTTTTGCCTGCGAAGTGGTATAGACCCAACTAACTCCCAAGATGCCTTAACGCCGCCCATGCAAGTTTTCGTCTCGCTCAGTCTCATCTCAACCTCCCGGCTTTGCGCTAAACCTTGATCTTCTTCAGCGTTGCCTCGTTATCCCCCTCGACATCCTCTACACCAACCTCCTCATCATCCCTCTCACCCCGTGCCCTCTTGAGACCCTTCATCTTCCTCGTCTGCATGTTGCCGAGATCCTGCTTACCGACGTGGATCCTGCCCGTCTTATCACCCATGTTGTCTGTATCGATGTTCTTCTTCGTCCTAGTCTCCATGCCTCTGGGCTTCTTGAGGGCTTCCTTCAAGACATCGGGATCGGGGAACTGCTCGCGGCCGAGCCTGAAATCGATCCTGGGGCCCATCTCTTCGACTTCGATGCGTGGGAGCTTTTGTCCTGAGCGTTTTGTGCGGAGGAGATAGCAGCGGAGTTTGATCTCTGGAGTTGGAATAGCGTCGGTCGGTTCTTGGGCGCTGATACTGATGAGATATTGGAGACCTTCGACGTCGACTTCATCGGTGTCCTGGCCACGGAGCATATCCAGAAGCAGACTCTTGGCCAGCGTGTACTTGGTCTGATTTGGGTCCTCGAAGACAGTGCCGTGGAAAGCGACAAGAGGCTTCAAACCGATCGAGGGCTTCTTGTTCTTGAACTGTTGCAGGTTACGGAAGGTGTCGGGGTTGATGTAGAGTTCGAGCATGTCGAGCATCTTGTGGGAGAAGGTACGCGCGAGGGTCAGGCAATGCGGGCGCTTTTTCGAGTGCAGGGAGAAGGCGATGAGCGAGGTATCGTTCTTCAGAGAGAAGAACTCGAAGGCTAAGCTGTCGTTAGTAGCTGTGTCAAAGCTTATGAGGTGTCGAGTGGGTTGGAGGCGTACAAGAGGCATCGTCGAAGGGATGGATGTCGTTCTTCTTTGTGAACTTCTCGACAAAGGGTCGCTTGAGGGTGCTCAGGTCCGCGATGGCGAGTTTGAGAATCTGCGACGTCCTCTGGCCGGTGACGAAGAGGGTCGTCTTTGGGTTCTCAGTCTGCTGCGGCTCGCGCTTCTCCATTGCGCGCTTGGCGCGAGCATTCTTGGGTTTTCTGCAGAAGCTGTCAGCCGTCTTGATTCATATACGAATGCCGTGGCTGCGCAACGTACACTGTCTTCAACATGATGCTGCTGGTCGGAGGTGAATGCGATGTCGAACTCTTGGCGCGACCATGGAACTTTTTTTCGACAGCTCTCGGCGATCCGGAGGCTTTCGCGCCGACCCACTCCGTCAAACACGTGATAACGGCTTGGCGTTGCAATCGAAGAGGCGGCGGGGTGTTGCATTTCCGCGTATCGGCGGGGCAAAGCACGTCAGAGTTGCGCCCAACCATTTCATCGCATCATCATAATCACCAGTCTTTTCCCGAGTACTCTGCTCCCACCGATACTCACGCCACTCTCACCACCATGGCGACCGTCAGAGAAGTCACCGAAGAGTCCGCGTTCAACTCGACCATCGCCGCCCTCCCGTCGTCCACACTCGCTGTCATCAACTTCTACGCGCCATGGGCCAAGCCATGCGAGCAAATGAACCAGTTCCTCTCGACGCTCGCCGGCACATACTCCGATAACGCGCCCATCGTCTTCCTCTCTCTCAACGCCGAAGAACTGCCCGAAATCTCTGAGCAGTACGATGTCACAGCAGTCCCCTACGTCGTCATCCAGAAAGCCGGCAACACATTAGAGACCATCTCTGGCTCAGCCACCGCAAAGGTCAGGGCTGCCGTAGAAAAGCACGCTGGCTCGCCAAACGGCAATGCGCAATCGAGTCTACCTCCAGCACAATCAGTCACGCGGCCTCCAGTAGAGAACGGCACAAACGGTGCAGGCGCGAAGGACCTGGCCAGCTACGCGCCGAGTGCGCAAGACCAGAAGACAGCACCGCAGTACAGCTCAGGCGAACTACGAGACGGGGAGCAGCAGACAAATACGGACGAGCTGTTCAAGAGGCTTGGAGAGCTGGTCAAGGCCGCACCGGTCATGCTGTTCATGAAGGGCACACCGAGCGCACCGCAGTGCGGGTTCAGTCGGCAGACAGTAGCCGTATTGCGCGAAAATGGCATAAGATATGGTTTCTTTAACATCCTAGCAGACGACGAGGTCAGACAGGGACTCAAGGAGTTCGCCGAATGGCCAACGTTCCCGCAGGTGTGGGTTGATGGGGAGCTAGTTGGTGGGCTTGACATCGTACGCCTCCCTCTCATCATGCAAGGTGAACAGATACTGATTACAACCAGGTTAAAGAAGAGTTTGAAAACGACCCCGAGTTTCTGGCACAGTACTCTGTCAACGCACAAAAGACGGCGGCGGCTTAGGAACCTGAAGCCGACTCGACCATGTCCGCATACCCGTCACCACCAAGTCCATATTCTTCTAGCGTCGAGCCTTCATCTCCCGAAGATACTCTTGTTAAATTAGGCCTTGAACCTCTACGTGAATACACTGGTAGGCCGTGGGAGCTTTAGACCGCAAAACTAGATGGCATTTCGTCTATCGGAATTATAGGTGTTGCGGCGCAGGAATAGGCTTAGTATGATACTATTCAATAACTTACTGAGATTTGACATCTCAGTCGCTTAGCACGCCATACCTTGCTCCCGTTGATGGAAACTGATCCACAGCGACCTATATGATTAACTGACAAAAGCTTTCTACGTTCCTAATCAAAGTTTGTACACCTACACAACACCGTATTCGCCCTTCAATCCTACCAACTCTACCCACGACTTCACTCTCACACTGTTCACGCAGATCTCAATCCCTCATCGGAAGCAACCCTTCAAACTCCCTCAACACCCCCTCAGCAACACCCACATCCCCGCCCGAGCGCACCCCCTCCACCAAAACCCTCCACATCCGCCTCGCGAGAACATACTCCCGCCTTTCTTCCCCCCTCCCATAATCCCCTCCCACTATATCGTAAAAGTTGAGCATATACCGCAGCAGCTCGCGCTCCTCTGCATCTGCCGCAATTACATCCCAAAACCGCACCGCTGCATCCCAGGGCGCAAGTGTGCTTACGAATTTCGGCGCAAAGACAGCGTCGCTCCAGGAGAGGATGCCGGACACACTGACAGTGGAGTCGTCAACGATGGTGAGGAGGAGGGTGTGCGGCGAGAGAGAGGGGTTGTGCAGGTGGAAGGGTTGGTCGTCTGGGAGGAGGCCCAGGGCGTGCATTTTGTTGATCATAATAGTGAAGCCGTGCCAGATGTGGGGGAACGTTGGGCCCCCTCTTGCGATAGCATAGCCGCGTTGTTGTTCACACAGTGAGAGGAGGAGGTCGCGGGGTGTTTGTGGAGTGGCTAGTGTTGCTGTGGGATGGGGAGAGATGGGAAAGGGTTCGACGCGGATGAGGTCGACTTTTATATCGTGGGCGGTGTTCAGAATACTGATTACACCTGCACATGTGTTGGTTACTTCATGTATGTCTTTGAACACGCGGGCCAGGCACCGTATCGCACTCTGTCGTTGCTTAGTATTCAACTCGGACCATAGCTCATGCAGTGGTTGACCCGGGAGCCGCTCTTGTAGCATATACGCTCCTCCCAGCGCATTGTCTGTCGTCTTACTGTATGCCACCAGGTTTGGTACGGCGTATTGGAGTCTACGTGCTACATACATGAGGGTGGTTACTTCGTAATGCATCCTCTCCGACTTCCCTAGGACGCGTAGGATGTATCTATCGCCACTTCGCTTGTTACGAACTGACATCCATACGTCGAATATTTTGCGTATATTTGTAATTGTGTACCAGCGGGCTTGAGGCGTCGGGTCAAACAGTGTAAGACTGTAGTTTCCGTTTCTCATTCCGCTCAGTTGTACATGTTGGGGGCTATGTGCGGGGAATAGTTCGATCATGAGGCGGACAATCTGCTCTGGTTTGCAATGTACTAACATATCGGATTTTTCATCATCGTTGTGCATCTCGTCCTCGAACGGGTTGTGAGAATCGTGACGTCGTGTGCAGTTGACTGCGCCCCTATGGTTGACATCCATTGACTGGACTCCATCGCGTCTCTGGAATGAAAGCGTGTTCATTTTCGCTTCCCGCAATACTCGAGATATGAGTGCTTCAGAACGATCGTCTTGATATGTGGGTAACTCAAATAATGAAATTTACAGCACACGAGTTTGCTGCATAGTGTTGCGATGTACACAAACAATGCGCAGATTCACTTTGAAAAGATTGGTTTGTACGAGTTTGGACGTTCACAATGCCAACTCTTTAATTGACAGACTATCTTGTGAAAACAGGATACACCATACTATTGTTCGGAAGTTACACAACCTCTTGATCGGCTTAGAAGCTGCCACTAGGGACCTAATAAAGCTTCAGTAGATGGAAAGCGACTATTGGTACAATTTGTATTAATCATTAGTCATTGTGAAGTATAACTGCATGTGGGAAAGTTGAAGATTCGCTTTGTAGTAATACTTCAAACGGCGGTCGCTACAACAGATTTGACTCGCAATGAGAAACTACAATATTTGACCACTCAATTTCTCGAAAAGAAATCATCAATCTTCATACGACAGGACCAGCAGTCTAGGAATACAGCATTATTTTCCACATCATACAGATAGCACCTAGGAAATGATCAACACCAACTGAGCATGTCAAGGTACAATGATACGGAAGGAACAGAACATGGCCATGTACTTATGACTTTTTGCGTAAATCGTAAACTTAGGGTCCGTCCAGAAGAGAGGCAGGTGTACTCTCCACTTTGATCTCCGGAGGCGAGGGCTCATAGTCATCCTCGGGTTCGGCCACAGAGCGTCGAGGGAGCAGTCGCTCCCTGTCTTCGTAGTAAATGTAATCCTCAGGGCCAGCGCGGCTGTTGTACCTTTGTGCCGGTGGACGGTCATGAGCAACAGGAACATACTGGTAGCGTTCGGACTCATAACGTGTAGAAGGCTGATGAGACATGTACGGCACATGGGACTGACGGCGATCGCTACGTACGCGGATGATCTCGTACTCTTGCAACGGTTCCCCGTATTCGTTGACATAGACGGGTGGTGCACGAGGGTCATCATAGCGATAGCGAGGTGGTGAATATGGGTGGAGGCGATCCTGAACGGAGACGTAATCACGGGACTGATGACGTGTGGGATGATAGAAACTCTCCTCTGGCAACGGCTGCTCAACGCTTTGATCTCGAGAATAGGTTGATTCTGCGTTTGGCTGTGGCGTCTCCTGCTGGTCAATCCGGCGACGCTGCTCTTCATAACGTTTGCTTTGCGAACGACTAATACTTGGGCCCCGTCCGTAGGGGTCGTCACGAGCAACGCTACTGTATCTATGATAACGTGAAGGCATACGCTGGTCATGAGGACGATCTCGCCGCCGTTGTGGTCCAGACCTCCGGGAAGACGCTGATGGGCCTGGCATGGGCACATGGCGACCCTGAAGATGATAGTCCTCATGCCTTGAACTATTAGATATGGTAGATGGTGCAACAGGATGTATCGCTCCAAGCGTCTGGTGCTGGATACCAGTTTCTTCTGCAGAGGGAACGCTTGTCGGCAGGGGCGTGTATCGTGAGCCATCTTCGATTCTCAGAGAAGGATCAGGTTCAGAATTAAGCGGTAGCGGGCGAGGAACCTGCTTAGTATCATCCGCCGAGTCCTGACCGGGGACGAATTCTTCAAGAAAGCGATCAGCGGCAGACTGCCCGCGTCGCGGGCTTGCCTCTTGGGATTGGTGGTCCCGGCCATAACGATACTCAGCTGGCCGATCTTCTTCATCATAGTATCGAACCTGACGCGGATATGCATTCAGACCCTGCGTATTGCTTCTGTCACGCGAATGCGTATAGATAATCTCTTCAGAAGGTGGGTCGTAATATCGATTGTGCTCGCGGAAGCTAGTGCGACGACCTGAGAATTCTTCGTAAACGGGACCAGAATGAAGCATCCTTGGGCTTGGGGCATAATCCATATACTCTCGCTGGCGAGGGTAATCATCATCCGCACGCTCCCTAGACATCTGACGTGCAGATTCATTAGCCCTGATGAAACGCTCATCCGAATTCTGGAAACTACCTACGTAATATCGCGAATCAGTCATATGACGCTGTCTACGTTCAGCAGGTGGACTGTCCTGATGAGGGTGTGTTCTTTCTTCGAGGCTCGACGTTCGCTTCGAGCGAGCTTGTAGAGTCGGTCGTGGAGATTCCGCATGAGGTGATGCTGGAGATGAAGGACCGGACTTCCCTCCCGACATTCCTGTGATTCTAGAAGTGTACTTTGCGTCCTTGGGCCCTGATGAGGCGGGTGAAACCACTCCATGGTTGCCGATCACACCGATCTTGGGCAGAGGCATAGAAAACAACCTGGGGAAAACAGTTGCTATCATGAGAAGCTTCTCATCATCCATGCCAGGAAAATGGATAAGACCGGAGATAAAGCGGTCATCAGGCAGCTCAATCATATCCTCTTTCCAGTCCAAATATGCGGCCGGCTGCCCGTGGCTAGAGCCAGGTCGTTGACTTGATAGATGCAGCGTTCTGAAATGGAGAAAAAGATTCAAAACAGTATACATTTTGCCACCTTCTGGCTTTTGGTAGTGAGCACCGATGGGCTGATGAGAAGACTCGACTTGACAGGTCTTACAGAACAACCCTGAAGCATTTTTCAAAGCCTTTGGAATCTGATGATTAGAAAGAGCATCAATGAAATGGTTCACGTTCGGCCCATGATTGAATTCGACATGAAATTTTGAAACGACGCGATGCAACAAAACATAAATCCGCAGGCTGGTTGGCATATCCTTAATTCCGGAGGTTTGCTTCCAGATGTTTTGGGCCAGTTCTATGACAGTACTTACTTCCTTGTCGAACAAGCCGGTCCGGTGGCCAGCATCATCATTGTCGTCTGGAAGTGGTCCTGAAGTACCCTGACCTAGTGGAGGCATGACCGGGGGTGGCGCAATGGCGAGATTGAGGGAGGCGGGAGATGGCATGTATGAGTGGTTACCTAACGGAGGTCCAAACACTGGGGGACCCATGCCCGGATGTGAGTAGCTGTCCACGGAACCATGGTATGAATGGAGATAATCATGCCCTGGCATCGCCATAGGAGGTGCTTGTGGTGGCGCGAAAGGTCCGGCATAGTGGCCTCCATAGTGGTGAGGTCCCGGGCTTGCTTGGGGTAGATGAGTCTGCATATGGGGCGTGGAAGTTCCTGCTCGCGAGTACCCACCGTAGTAACCACCATTACCAGCCGAGTTGGAAGAAGCATGATAACTATGTTTGACCGATATTGGATCCGGGTGGAACGGTGTTGTCTCAGGCCATTCTGCCTCTCGCCAGGCGACTACAACGTTACCAACGCTAAAGGCATTAGTGTGTTTGGCTCCAAAATGCTGAATAACACCCTCGAAACCATAGAACTTGGTACTGCTTGCACACTCGTTAAATCGGGAGCAGATGAAAAGCTCCTTGCGCTGTTCTGTCAAGGGTCTGATCTTGTTGTCGTATACCCACTTCATATTGTCCAAAACCAGTAGCGATCTACCATCAGCGCCGTCAGTCGACCCTTGTTCCGCCTTCTGGGCAGCCGTATCTTCTATGGCAGCTCCGGTGTTGAACGTGCGTCGTACATAGACTAGAAGGTCGGCAGCAAATTTGGGGCTGTTTTCATAGGTGACAGCTTTGCCATGATCCCAATGTCGGCTTATGAATTCGTCAGCGATGGCGTCGAGTTTGTCGCGCACTAGCCGTTGCGACTCGTCCCATTCTCGGTCCATGACTTCCTTTGCTTCTTTGGTGTTGACATCATGGTGGCGCCGGTCTGCTGTTCTGGTGTGCACCAACGCAGGACGAGACACGTGTTCGACTTCAACTTGTTGGGCAGCAGGAAGTTGGGCAAGAAGGCGGGGTTGAAGCACACTCCATGCGTCATCGTTCATTGGCTGTGAGATCTGGAGGGCCGCTTTGAACGAGTCCATGTGGCGCAAGATGTTTGGAGGGATAGGTGGGTCCATTTGCAGGCAACGTCGTTCAATGTCGAGCCTGCGGTTCGCTTTGGCCTCGTTTGCGTCATGGATGTTTCGCTGCGAGGGTTGTACGCTGCCTGTGGGAACAGGATGGGGAGTGAAGACCTGTGGTGGACCAGTTGGAGGCCTTGCCTGTACAAATTGAGAGGTTGGGGCTGCAGCTGTTAGGTTGAGCAGGGAGATGGTATGCAAACGTCCAGCACGACCATTTCGATAGGCAATAGATGGAAGGCGAATGTATACTTACTGGCTGGTACCGGTGCATGGATGATAGGAGATGGCCTTCGACGCACTGGGGATTTGGGCAGCTCATTGTGCGACACAGCTGTCTTTGTCTGCTGGTGTTGCTCCCACCACTGGTACTTGACTTCCCAGCGTTCCCAGTTTTCAGCGACCCTCATTCGCTCTCTGCCTCGCGCGTCGAGGCCTTTGGACCACTCCTCAGCGGCGGCAGGACCAAGGCTCGAGGCATCGTCTAGTTCTTGGGTGATGTCCTGCACGTGTTTTTTGTAGTAGTATTTGCCAATCTCTATGTCGGCGGGCGTTGTTGCCGTCTGCAGAGTGTAGGCAGCGATGTAGTTGTGGTCTTTGGTGATGAGGGCGAATGGGAGCGCGGGTCGCAGCGCAGAAGCGGACGAAAAGAGAAGACTCATGTCCTGAAGAGTCAGTTGCCCATCATGATGTGGAGACGAGCGACTCACCGTCTGGCACTGCTGCGTCAGGCAAAGCCCGCACGCTCTGATACCGAATGGCCAGATGATGCGGACGCCTGCTTCGCCTGGGCCCTTTTGCCAGATTCTCTCGCCCGGGGTAAAGGAACTGGACTTGTTACAGAACTGGCATTTCCTTGCCCAGGCAAGCTGCCACATTTGCAGCTCAGAGAGCCCTGGGAGGGGCTTGGGGGGCTTGGTAGACAGGGCGTTGCGGGCAGAGGCCCACAACGACTCGGACTTTGAAAGACGAAGACGACCAGAGTCTGATTTGAAAGTAGAGACGTTGCGCACGTCTGTGAGATAGGAATGAAAGGATCGATTGACTTGAAGCAATCGACCAAGGTCTGCAAGCGAACAAAAGGAAAAGATGTGCTGCCACACTGCGGGTGGCAGCCTGGCACACGGCCGCAACTCGCTGGAGAGGACGTCAGGGCGCGCATCGAGCTTGCGCTTCTTGTCCTGGGCAGGAGCTGCGTCTTCTGCCTTGCGCTTCCCAGCCAACGCGCCATGCAGCATGGCGTCTGCCGGCGTCTCGCGCGTCGCCTCGGACTCGTAGAAGTCGGCCGACGAGGCCACGCTGGACTCGCGCGAGGCCATGGCGGTCAAGGGTCCAGGCAAAGCTCACTGGAGCTTCACCGGCGATGCGCGACGGGCTGCAGACATGGATCGAAGGTGCACGGGCTGGGCAGGCTGGGGGTGGTGTAGCTGGAGGGGAAGGAGCGCGCGCAGGCTGGAGGCGACGCGAACACGGTGTTTGTCGCGGGGGCGTGGTGGGTGGAGGCTATCTGGGGAGAGGAGAGTCCGAGGACCGTGGATGGACTGTTGTGTCGCCCAGCGCTGTCGTGCCCGTCGCCTAAGTTGCTGCCCGACTGGCCGACGGCTAACGCGCTCCACTGTTTGGTGACTTGGCACAGCGTGCATGGCGGGAGAGAGGCTGCGTCGACGCTGCCCTCCCCACTGTGCGAGGTCGACAGTGTAGACACACATTGCTACCTGTGGAGAGACGTGTACTCTTAGCTGGTCAGACATCTCGCGCACTGCATTCGAGGGAGCCTGCTCATGACCCTCTATAGACCCTGAACCACCTCGACAGCAGCTCGTCCGCCCTCAGACACACCGCCCACCATGGCCACCCTCAACACGTCCAGCAACGGGTCCAACATCACTCGTAGCTACCAGAACGTCATCAACACGCCGCCGCCCTCTGGCCCCCAGGCGAGCTCTCCCACATATGGCCAGTGGGCCGTGTTTTCAGTCGCTGCCCCACTAGTCAGTGCCTTCCAGCAAGACGGTGGGAAGGAGAGCGTCCTGAAGGTGCAGAGCACGGGAGGTATGTGGAGCTGCAGAGACACCATCACGTGCGGTATACGAGCTCGGTAGGCTGACTGCACCAGAGGGCGAACTCGCCGACCTCGTAGACGAATTCTCCGACGGCCGCATCCAATTTGCGTTTGTCAAGGTCAAGGACCCGAACTCTTCGCTGCCCAAGAACGTCCTGATTGCATGGGTAAGCCACTTCACCGGGCCATGGCATGTGCACCGCTAACCATTGATGCAGTGCGGCGAGGGCGTGCCTGAGCGGACCAAGGGCTACTTTGGCAGCCACCTGGGCGTCGTGTCCAAGCTCCTCCACGGCTACCACGTCCAGGTCACCGCCCGCTCCGACGCAGACCTCACTCCCGAAAGGATCGTACAAAAGGTCGGCGATGCCTCGGGCGCAAAGTACTCGGGCGGGGCTGACGTCCCCGCGTCACGCCCCCCTCCCGTGGCAGCGAAGAAGCCCGTCTTCACCCCGACACGAGTGGGAGGCGGAGGCTCCGGCTTCAACCCACTCGGCAGCTCGAGGGCACCGGCGCCCCGGGGCAACGAGGACGCCGACGGCTGGGGTGCTGACGCCCCGCAAGTCAACAGGTCGCAGTTGGAGAACGTATCCTCTTCATACAAGCCCACCAAGGTCAACATGGCCGAGCTCACCGCAAACAAAGACGAGTCGACTCGCTCCCAGCCCTCTCAATCGCAGAGCGATCGCCCCGAAGTCGTCAGGGGTGCCTACCAGCCAGTTGGAAAGGTGGACATTGCTGCTATCCGAGCTCAAGCCCGGAGCGCTGGCAACGACGACCGGCCTTCTGTGATCAAGGGCGCATACGAGCCTGTTGGAAAGGTCGATATTGCAGCCATCCGGGCCAAGGCCCAAGGCGCACCTCCGTCTTCCGGCCTGTCGCCAGCGGCAACGGGCACGTCCAACAACGACGAAGAGGAGCAGCCCAAGTCGCTGGCAGAGAGATCATCGGCCTTCAGTCAGCAGCCCGAACGGCTCACCAGCATGCCGAAGCCCAAGGTTGCCAACAAATTCGCTGGTAGCAGCGCCTTCACCGGAACCAAGGCTCCGACTCCTGGAGGATTTGGGGCCAAGCCACTCGCTCCTGCCCCAATCATTGGCGCTGCGAGCAAGACGTTTGCGGATGAGGGAGGCAAGACGCCTGCTCAAATTTGGGCTGAGAAGAAGGCGGCTCAAGGCGGCGCTGTCAAGTCGCCCGCTGATGGTTCAGGGCCTACGTCTCCCATGCAAGCCCAGAAGAGCGGAGCGGGTGGCTGGCAGAGCGGCTACGCAGGAAAATCCTGGGCACCTGTCAAAACCACCCGAACCGGCCAGTCTGTGGCTAGCAACAACAGCGAGCCACGAACGGGTGAAGAGCCTGCCCAGGAGGAGCCAGCCTCGCCAGCGGCTGGTGGCATTGGTGCACTGAAGGATCGATTCACAGGTGCTGCACCCATGGGAGCTCCCGCTTCCCGTCCGGTGCCCGAACCCCAAGCCCCGAGCCCACCACCCCTCGATAACTCCAGCAAGCCAAACGCAGGCGTACGAGGTGGCGTCCCGATGCCCGGCCTACCCAGTCGGCCCAAACAGCCAGACTCAGATGACGAGGATAACGTGCCAGCAGTGCAGCACCAGCGAATTCCCTCGCCACCGCGTCAACAACGCAGCCCATCTCCTGAGCCTTCTGAGTCTCCCGTCCGCATTGCTATGCCCGTTTCCCGCGGTAAGGCACCCGAAGAGCTCTCTCCTGCTGAGGACAGAGCGCCGCCCATGCCTAATCGTTCCTTGGACCAGGCAGCTCAGCATGCGCGTGATGTCTCACCTGAGCCACAAGTCGAGGCAAAGGACCCAGCTCGCAGTGCTGGTGCCGCTGTAGCAGCTGCCACTTTTGGCGCTGCCGCAGTTACCGGAGCAGCCGTTGGTGCCGCTGCTGGATCCGGACAAGAGGAAACTGGCTCTGGCAAGCGTGCAGTCATCCAGTACGACTATGAGAAGGCTGAGGATAACGAAGTCGAACTGCGTGAGGGTGACTATGTCACCGACATTGATATGGTTGATGAGGATTGGTGGATGGGCACGAACTCCCAAGGCGATCGTGGTCTTTTCCCGGCCAACTATGTTGAGCTGGTTGAGGGCAACGATGACGAGGGTGCTGCTGCCGCTCCCCCGCCACCAACGCATCCCTCTGCTGCAGAGCCCGAACCCGTCGCGGCCCCGCCGATGCCATCGCGCGGCGCTGGCCCTACCGCCACTGCCATCTACGAATACGATGCTGCTGAAGACAACGAACTGAGCTTTCCTGAGGGTGCTACCATCACGGGAGTCGTAAGTACAGTCGCTAAATCAATTCTGAGCACACACTAACAGCAGTCTAGGAATTCCCTGATGAGGACTGGTGGCTCGGAAATTTCAACGGTCAATCGGGTCTCTTCCCTGCCAACTACGTGCAGCTGGACGAGTAGAAAAATGTGATCATTAGCGGAGCTTCGGTATCGTTGTGAGCATAAAGAGCGGGCGTGAGTAAAAATCCTCGTCTGGTATAGGTACAAAAGTTGCACAATACACGTTTTATGCTTCCATGTTATGAGTCTCCCGTCAACAGTACACCCATTAACAATATGTGATTGTTGATAGATTACTGTGAAACGAAGTCAGGGTTTTCCATGAAACTATGGTACATCCGTCTACTCAATACATCGTGAGTGTTCGTGCCCAAGAAATGCTACTCACAGTTAGGCATAACAACACCATATATCTGTCCTACTTCTCTCTCTCTCTCAACTATAATCACGTACTATTCAAGGCTAGACCTTGCCCTCACAACCATACCCTCCATCAGCCTCTTCATTTCAGATTGAAAATTGGTGCAGGAGAATTCACTGGCGGAAAATTACTACTGTGACAGAAAGAGTGGTGTTGGAATATCATCATGGTATCCTGATCTGTATCTTTGTTTTCTCATTGTCTGCATTTCTGCTTTGCTCATAGTTTCCCATCAAATTTCAAAACCTGACTTGATCGTCCTGTCGAAAAGCTCCTTTGCCGTGACTTGATGTGCACTCTTCCCGGTCTGTCAGACGATCAACGTTTCCACAGAAAGCTCACGCAATAAGAGCATTTAGGAACCGACGTTGATCATGGCTATTAATCGTACCAATTAAACAACCTCCGGTCACGATTGGATGATTGTAATACTAGACTGTAAAGACTTTTCAACTACGATACATATCACTGGGAAGTAGGTCCAAGGTCAATATTGTCGACGAGAACGCTGGAACAATTACTACCAGCACTCGTTTGTCACCCATTCCGTCCTACTGCTTCTTATTCTTTGAATAAATGAAGTTCGCCGCGACAGGCACCAAGCCATTGACCTGCGCCCAGTCTCTCACTCCACCTCTCTCCGATCCCGTGCCCCAATGCTGGCGGTCCTTCGGTTTGGTCAAATACAATGGCTCCGTCGTTCCGTTCTTTGGTGCAAAGACCAAGAAGACATAGCGATGCTTGCCGGTCTTGGGCGGAGGGCCGGGCGGCTTGTATTCAATCACGTCTTCTAGATGCTGTTTCTTGGCAGGGATGATCAGATTCCGGTCGGCGAGAGAGATGTTAGTGGCTATCCAATGGCACATTTCACTCCATTTGGGATCGTCGCGTGATGGCGCATCGGGGTCCGTCAGCGTGACTACATAGCTCATGTTTGTAGCTGTGGATAGTTCGGAGCTGGTTATGTCATGGAGGGTGATTGAAGGGTGATGTTGGAGACGTTTGGGCTTGACGGTGTTGCCCAGCTCGGCATCGTTCTTTGACCATGAGACCGAGAGAGTGAGGCTTGGGAGGAAGTCATCGATCACTGAATGTATGAGTTGCTGAGGGAAGCTGTTGGACAGAGTACTGTACCTGTTGGGATGATTTCTGCTTTCTTGAGCCTGTTGTATGGTTAGACAGAGTATGTGTTAAGATCTTGGGTACTTGCGCTGCTTGTACGGCTTGTACGCTCTTTGGATCATGTGAAATCAGCGGTTGCTGGTCAGTTGGAAGCGCGACTGCGACTCCACAGAGCTGCCAGACGCAGGCAAGGCCAATCGAAACTGGAATGAGCATGGTTGCAGAGAAGTAGTTTTTAGCGTGAACAACTTGGAATTGAGCGTGAAAAGTGAGGTTTGATAGGTTCTAACGTTTGTTCATCAGCTCAGAGAAGTGGTATGTCAAGGTAATTCCAAGGCTGGAGGTACACAGCTGTGCTGCAGTGTGTCGTCATCGGTGCCTCATGCATGCCGATCCACGCCCATCTAGGAAACTACATGCTGGGAAAGACAACATCAATACAAGCAGCGCTAAAGTCTTCAGGACCGACGTAGTATTATTCGTTTTCTATCAGGGGTATATGTAAATGTAAAGATGCGCGCAAACAATGCAAGCTAAATCAGTAGTCCGCCAAAAGAAGTGCCAACTCCGAGAACTGATCAGGGTCTCACAAGATCTTCGCCTCAACGAATGAGCCACTGCTCGTCACAAATCCCATATTGGTAGAGATCTGATACTCGGAGAGCTCTTGAGCGTATGTGCTCGTCATGGTACCAGTGCAGTCGTCCAGAAGAACACAGTCCCATCCATAAGAGTACGCGTCAGAAACGGTTCCAAAGACGCATTGATCGGTATTGACTCCAGCAAAAAGCAGCGTCTGCTTCTTTGACGCCACCAGGTACTCATGTAGTGGCTCTTTGGTAGACCACAATCCACTCATGCGTGACTTGTCGAAGAAGAGATCGCCGGGTTGAACAACAGCTTTCAACGGGTCGTAGAGTTCAGCGTTCCAGGAGCGTTTGAAAAGGCATCTGCCTTGGTTGTTTGGGAGCTGAGCACCAAGACCAATGTGCCACCCCAGGCCCTTGCAAAAGCCACGTTGAACAGCAGGGGGCATGAGGCGGAGGTCCTGTTCGGTGATGCCCCAGTTGAGCCAGGCTATCTGGATGCCCTCCCTTCTGCATCGTTCGATAACCTTGAGGGTTGGTTCGATTGCAGCGATCCCAGCGGCGTGATCTCGATACATTGGGTTAATGAAGTAGTTCTGCATGTCGACGATGATCAACACTGAGGTGTCCGGATCAATCATGAAGCCAGAATGGTTGCGGAGTTGTTCGTCACACTCAAACACCATCTTCTTGTCAGAGCCTCTGGACAGGTCGAACTTCTTTGTGGCCGGTAGGTACATCCACTGCTCCTCGCCTCCAAAGGGGATCGCGGCCGTACATTTGATGGTTCCGACTGTGATGTCATTGTTGTCATGATATTCCTCGTATGAAGTAAGGACAAGAGATTCCGAAGCCATAAGCAGGCGATAGGGTGAGGGTGAGAAGGGGTTGTGACGGGGGAGTGAGACGAAGCAAGGAGACGAACAAAGCTGGTTTGGAAGGTGATATTAGAGGGCTGCGACCTCCTTTGTAGTCCTCGTTTGCGATGTACTTTCCTCATTTCTCTAGCGGTGAATTCGATAACGGGCTTATCATTTTGATAGGCTTGTATCGGGAAGGAGGCCTCAATCACAAGACCAAGGCTTGGGCGAGAGATCATGCCCATCTTACCTCTTGTGTGGGGATGTGGGGATGTTGGAATGCTGGAACTGGCTCATAGAGTACCTTGGTAGCAGGGACTCCTCGTATCTCAGACGCATGAAGTCACTCCGGCAAGATTAGCGCAACGGCGAACTTCTTAAGATAGAGAGCAGCCTTTGTAATTACCTGCTATCATGTTTGACCGTATTGTGCTCTGGTACGAAGATAAGGCTGGCGATGACTGTAGAGATAGCTACCCTCCAACCCGACAGTACCCGAGCGGGCGAGTAAGCTACGGTGATGATACAAACACGCCAAGATTACTCCAGCACTCAACAAGGCGTTGATGCAAGTGCGATGGACACGTCGCCAACAGATTCTGGGCTGGGCGTTGTGTGACGGAGTGGTCAGAGTGTTCCGGGGAACGATGCCAGTCACGGACCAGGGCTGCATCGCGCTGCATCGTGGTTGCAACGGCATGGTGAACAGGCTCCACCTGGTTCAAGCACACAGTGCTGGCATGACATGTACAAAAACCAAGTGGAGTTCCATGTTGTTCAAATTCGAGGAGTGGGGACTGCCACCGAGGCGGACACGTGAGCACCAGCCACTCCAACGCCACACATGGCGGACAAGGGCAGGCGCAGAACTTGGTTCGCTGTTCGCCATGACGACGAGCTTGCTGTAAAAGTCCAACGACAACGAGCCTCTATCCCAACGAGGCCGACCAGCAGTGCATCCGTGTCGGCCACATCCCATCTCCCCTCGACACACCCCGCCCCGCCTTGAGCCGTGTGCAGCTTCCCCCAACAGCCCGACGCCAGCACCGTTTGTTTTGCTCCCTCACCAGCCGCACCCACCAGCAGCCAGACACCGCACACGCACGTCCACCACCGCCATGGCCGCGCTGGGCGAGGAGCTGCTCAACATTGTCAACAGGCTGCAGGACCTTGTTTTCAACACGATTGGAAATGACTCGCTGGACCTGCCCCAGATTGTATGTTGCCCTCCCCGTGCCGGCGCAGGAGCACGAGCAGGACAGCGCAGAGCACCGTCCACCCGCCGGCTCTGCTGCCAATTCGCCCGGGCGTGCTGCTGACTCTCTCGCAGGTGGTCGTAGGCTCGCAATCAGCCGGAAAGTCGTCGGTGCTCGAGAACATTGTCGGCAGAGACTTCCTGCCTAGAGGCAACGGCATCGTTACGCGGCGGCCGCTGATCCTCCAGCTCATCAATCTCCCCTCCGAACGCGAGGATGCCGAAGAGGGCGATGAGGTCCACGTGCCCCACACGCCCGCGAGCGTCGCCGGCCAGCAGGAGTGGGGAGAGTTCCTGCACATTCCCGGGCGGAGGTTCTACGACTTCGCCGAGGTCAGACGCGAGATTGAGGCCGAAACAGCAAGGATTGCGGGAAACAACAAGGGCATCAACAGACAGCCCATCAATCTCAAAATCTACTCCCCGCACGTCCTCAGCTTGACGCTGGTCGATTTGCCGGGTTTGACCAAGGTACGCTACTTTGACACGGCATCGGCGAGCCCACGAACTAACCGCCCCAGGTGCCCATCGGCGACCAACCTTCAGACATCGAGAAGCAGACCCGCAACCTCATCACCGAGTACATCGCGAAGCCGAACAGCGTCGTCCTGGCTGTGTCCCCCGCCAACGTTGATCTCGTCAACTCGGAAGCTCTGAAGTTGGCCCGACATGTGGACCCCATGGGCAAGAGGACAATTGGTGTCCTCACCAAGCTCGACCTCATGGATCACGGTACAAACGCCATGGACATCCTTTCTGGGCGAGTCTACCCCTTGAAGCTCGGCTTTATTGGCATTGTCAATCGCTCGCAACAGGACATTCAGGGCAGCAAGTCGCTCTCGGATGCCCTGTCGGCGGAGCGTGACTTCTTCAGGCACCACCCAGCCTACAGGAACATGGCGAATCGATGCGGCACGCAGTTCCTTGCAAAAAGCCTGAATCAGACTCTCATGGCACATATCCGTGATCGTCTACCAGACATCAAGGCTCGTCTGAATACCCTGATGGGACAAACGCAGCAAGAACTGGCAAGCTACGGTGACGTAGCATTCACTGGAAAAGAACACCGGGGCTCACTCATTCTACAACTCATGACCCGGTTCGCCTCGTCATTTATCTCGTCCATTGACGGTACTTCTACTGAAATCTCAACCAAAGAGCTATGCGGTGGTGCCAGAATCTACTACATTTTCAACTCCGTCTTTGGAAACTCTTTGGAACAAGTGGATCCAACAATGAACCTCTCTGTCCTGGATATTCGAACAGCAATCCGAAACTCCACCGGCCCTCGACCCAGTTTGTTCGTTCCCGAATTGGCTTTCGACCTGCTTGTGAAACCTCAGATCAAGCTCCTAGAAATACCAAGTCAGCGTTGCGTGGAGCTCGTCTATGAGGAGCTCATCAAGATCTGCCATACCTGTGGATCGACGGAATTGACAAGATACCCCAGACTTCAAGGAAAGCTCATCGAAGTTGTCTCTGACCTCTTGCGAGAACAACTTGGACCATGTTCTACTTATGTCGCTTCGTTGATTGACATTCAACGTGCATACATCAACACAAACCACCCCAACTTCCTTGGCGCGGCCGCTGCCATGTCTTCTGTGATCAACGACAAAGAGCAAAGGGAGAAGAAGATTGCCATGGATGCGGAGAAAAAGAGGCGAGAAAAGAGGAGGCTGAAGGAAGTCAACGGCATGAACGGCGCCGAAGCTGCAGAGGGTGGTGAGGAAATGGAGATGTCGACGGACAAGCACCTTCCACTGCGGAAACACCAATCACAAGCAAGCCGAAGTATGTCACCAGCAATTGGTCGTTTGATGAACGGCACTCAAGGCTCCCAAGGTGCGATTGGCGCACTCAACACTCGCACACGATCGCCTCCTCCGTCGGGTCAAACTGGGCCTGCGCGTGATAGTTTTTTGAACTACTTCTTCGGTAAGGATGGTGCTGTGCCTCCGAGCCCCACGCCATCTACATCCGACAACCGACCTGGCAGTCGACATGTCAGCCAAAACGTCGAGGCCAGCTTTTCCCAGAGTATTCGGAGAGGCGATACTAGGCAACCCGCTCACATCCTGACTATGATGCCAGATGACGATGAGGAGGACGGCCCTACCAGCCCAGTCCGGGAATCATATGAAGGCGGCTTTGTAAGTTTGTGTCATATCGTGTATATCAGCTCGACTAACTGTGTTAGCCTTCGGACCCCGAGTCTGCTCCCGCACTCACAGAACGTGAAGCGCTTGAAACCGAACTCATCCGCCGTCTCATCTCATCGTACTTCAATATTGTGCGGGAAACGGTTGCTGATCAAGTGCCCAAGGCGATTATGCACCTTCTTGTCAACCACTCCAAAGATGGCGTGCAGAACCGACTGGTCAGCTCGCTGTACAAAGACACATTGTTTGAGGAACTTTTGTACGAGGATGACACGATCAAGGCGGAGAGGGAAAAGTGCGAGAAGTTGCTCAAGACATACAAGGAGGCGGCCAAGATTGTTGGAGAAGTGTTGTAAGGGTGCGTGTACTTGTATGAATTGGATGTTTTCAAAATGAGTGATGAAGGAACGGAACGTGAGGGTGCTTGGCTTCTCTGGCTTGTCTTGGATCAGTTCGCTTTTTTTCACGAACATGTATGTGTTGATGAGAGAGAGAGAGAGAGAGAGATAGGGAGGTGATCTGCGGTTGGAAACGACTATGATGGAAAGGGCTTGCCTAGGTTTTTTTGGACTCTTTTAGCACGCGCTTATTTCTACTCTTCTGCTGTCTTGACTGATTATGTTGGATGGAGGGACAGCAGGGTTGCATCAATAGCTCCACTTTTTGTTCGACTTTTCACATGTAACAACTGGCTTTTTCTGTATCGTACATAGTGCATGGTGGTGGTGGCGATTGTGGAGGAGGATCAAGCGGGCAATGTATAGAATATATTCATTCGGACCTCGGATACGCGTGTGCATATAGGGAGTGAAAAGCAAGTGTTTGTTAATTGATTGATTGATAGATAGATGGAATGATTGATTAAAGCAAAAGACTTGCTCATATCATTTCAGCATGAGGGGTATGTCGCCCGTGAACCCAGACTCCAAAGAAATGCTTCGCTCGAGACATGCAGGTAAGAAAGCATCGTCGCCAGCTTGTCCAACCATGTCGTGTCTGTAATAACTTTTTTTATGACAGAACAGTCGACACCTACTTTCCATTCATTCCCTCGCCTACGCCTTCCAGTCTGCTGACCAGTCTCTTGATTCCGCTCCACTCCTCGGCTCTGGTCTCGACGCCGCCCAGCTCTTGCCCAACTTCGAATACGGTAACAACACCATCCATGCCCCCCACGGCGACGCGGCGCCCCTCGTTCCTCTCCCACGCCAACTTGTTGAGACTGCGATTCATCACGCCCCCACCTGTCGGCAGGCCTGAAAACGCTCCACGCTTGTTGTCACTTGGCTTCACGCTCTGGACAGGAACTTCGACGTCACGGTTCAGGTCCCAGACCTCCAGAGATCCCGCACCGTCGACGAGGGCAAACACGGATGGCTTCACGGGCGACCAGCGCACGTCGTAGACGAGGTCTTCGCGTGCAATGTCCAGTACGGGGGTGACCTGTTGCGCAGTACCGGGAAGTGTGGCACCGGCTGTGCCCGTTGCAGCCGGGGGACGCACTTTCCACAACTTGACGCTCCAGTCCACGCTAGAAGACAGCACGAGGTCACCTAGATCGATCTGCCCTTTGGCGGGGTGGAAGTCTAGACTCATGACGGGTGCGGCGTGCCCAGCGTACTTGACACGGCCGTCGACGCCGGCTTTTGCACCAGCGCGGTCGTAGCGGTGGCAGGGGTAGATGGAGCCTTCTTCTGTACCGGCAAGGAAATAGGTGGGATCGGACTGCGGAAAGGCGATGCAGGTGACTGCCATGTCGTCTGTCTTTGCTGGAGGAGGTGAGGTCAGTTCGAGGAATTCTTGGGGCTGGGAGAGCATGTCGACGGTCCAGCCGCAGACCACGCCGTCGGTGGAGCAGGAAATGATGTTGTTTGCGTTCTGGGTGCCGACAATGTCGATGGAGTAGACGGGATGTGTGTGGCCGGAGCCGGTGAGTGGTGTCTTTTGGACGGGGGTGGATTTGGCGCGGGTGTCCCATAGCAGGACCTGGCCTGAATATGCGCCGCCGATGATGAGGTTGGGGTGGAAGGGCGAGAACTTTGCGGTGAGAATGTCGGACTGGGCGTGAAAGATGTACTCGGGGCGGTCGTGCATGTGCAGATTCCAGACCTGGATGAGGCCGTCTGGGTCGTGTGGGGCTGACGGGTTCTTAGTGTAGGAGGCCAGGACGAGTTCGGGGAACTGAGGGGGCTGTTAGCGGGTGTATGGAGGCGGGTGTCTCAATGCCGGTACCTTTGTCGAGAAGGCCAGATCCGAGACCATTCTCTTCTTGCTCCAGCGCTCGTCCCAGAACTGTGCAATCTCCTTGATGCGCCGGCCCTTCTTGCCTCCGCTGGAGCCGTAGCCCTCGTCCTCGTCGTCGACGTCGACACCGCCCAGGGCATAGTCTGCGAGGATGTCGTAGCCCAGCTGCTGGTCCAGGGCCCTCTCGAGGACCTTTGTGCTCCTCTCGACGAAGCCGATGAAGTCGTCCGAGTTCTCGACGGCCGTCAGCTCCTCGTCCGTTAGCGTCTTGAAGGGGAAGTTCTCGTCCGAGGCCGGGTGGGCGGTGCCGTCGTGGGAGGCGTGCTCGGCGGCCTTGAGCTCCTCCTCGATCTCCTTGCGCAGCTGGGCGCGTATCTCCTCGTCCTTCTCCTTCTGCCGGCGACTGAGGCGCTTGCTCGTCGGGGAGCGGGTCGGACTGGCTTCGCGCTCTGTGTCGCTCCCCCCGGCGGCCCGTGAGCGCGGCGGGCTCCAGTCTATGCTCGCCTGGACGCCCTTGCTGTAGGTGATGACCTCGAGCTCCTTCTTGACCTCGCCCGTGACGTGGCCGTCGAACTCGTAGACGGTGGCCAGCGGGCCGATGGACAGCGTTTGCACGCCGTGGTCGACCATGCCCGAGAGCACCTGGTACGTGGGCGAGGCCTCATTGTCGCTGCTGAGCTGGCCGGCGCTGACGACCGACGTCGGGCGCGTGGTGCGTCCGCCTGGCGAGCCCGGGCGCGTCGACCCCGGACGGCTCTCTCCGATGAGGTTGTTGATGAGGTTGTTGATGTCTGCGCGGCGGTCGAGGTCCTCGCTGCGGCGGGGCGTGGGCGAGAGCACCTGCGTGGGCCGTCAGTGGTCCTGTGGGCGTGGGCGTGGGAGCAGGGCGCCGTACCTCTCCCAGCGGGCTGCCGCTCGCCGACTGCCTGCTGGCTGCGTCGGCCTTCCGCAGCTCGCGCTGGCGCTTCAGCTCGGCGAGCTTGGCCTTTTTGGCGAGGATCTCCTCGCGCCGCTGCTGCATGGTCGACTCCATGGCGGGGATGGGCGCGTGGAGGGCTTGGGGCGGTGGGGGCGGTGGTGAAGGGGCGTGTGGGACGGTGGTGCTCGCTGCATCCGGGGCGTCTCTCGTCTTGTCTCGCTCCAGCCGGGCGCCGTCAGGAACAAAGGGAGGGCCGGGTTGCGCGTGTCGGCCGCCGCGCGCTGTTCACGGCCATGTCCTCGACCGCGCCAAGCATTCCAGGGACCGGTTCATGCCGACGGAAATCTTGCGCGACTACCACAGCATCAACTCGCCCGCCCGCCCCCAGCTCCTCCTGTCCGCCCCCGACGCCGCCGTCACCCTCGCCCGCATCTCGCAGAGCGTTGCATCGCCGTCGTAGACCCGCACCCCGGCCATTGGACCCCCACGACCGACACAGCCGCTATCGCACGCCCTCGCACGCCCTCGCACAACCGCTCACCATGTCCACCTCCGTTGGCGTCAATGTACGCACACATGTCCTCGCGCCGACCACTAGTCCACACGCCTGCTGACCACGATGAATCCAGGTCCTGCGCTGGTCCGCTCTCGGCTTCGGTGTCTTCTACGGCGCCTACCACCAAATGTCCATATCAGCCCGCGAGAAGCTGCAGGCCGAGACCAAGAAATACGATAACCACCAGTCGCTGATCAGCCAGGCCAAGGCAGAGTGGGCCAAGACACATCCCTCGGAACAGCCAAAGCCCGCATCTGGCGGTACGTTGACCCTTGACCCTTCGCCAGGACACCCACTTCACTCATGGCGTGGGAATTCCTCTGACCATGAAACCACCTGCTGACCAGCACACAGCCAAAGCAGACCCCCAAGACCCAAACGCCGACCTGAACACCATCCTCGGAATCACCGACGGCAAATGAACACCCTACGTCCCTTTATTTGCATGCATATACTACCGCCTCCCGAAGTAGATGGAGAAGCACTATAGGTGACGGAAAAGCAGCTGTCCATGGTGGTGGTGCAGCATATCAGCCTCATGTATTTTGTACCTTATGTACAGTATAGACGGCGGTTGGTCACGAATTTCAATACATGCTTACTTTCATGTCTTCTATTCATTGTGCAATTTGACATATAATTATCCTTGAACTCCTCTCAAACCAACAACTCCACCTCAGAAAACAATACACTTAGGAACACAGGAACACATCCTACTCCAAGACACAAGTCCTCGGAAACAACCGTCCACCAAAGTAACGATCCTTCAAAATTGATCCATAGAATGACTGCTCTCGAAGAAACAATCCCTTGAAAACATTACACTTCAAAGAAAGAATCCCTCAAAGAGGTCACTCCTGAAAGAAACAACCCCTCAAAGAGATGGCCCTTGAGAAAAACAGCCTCCTGCGAGATAACCTCCCAAACAACATCCTTCAGAGGCACATCCTTCCAAGGAGCAACCTCCTGAGAAACAACCTCAAAGGAACATCCCTCAAAGAAACAGTCCTCCCACAGCTCCAAGCACCCCTCCCACAACCATCCCCTTGTACCCCACTCCCATCGCCACAGCCTCTCCCGTACTCTCCACCATCGCTCCCGTGCTGCTCGCTTTCACACTCTGGCTAGCCCACGACGATCCATGCGAAGACCCATTCGCAGCCGTACCCGTCGGCATGGCAGAACCAGACCATTGCTCGAAGCCCGTTCCAAACGCCGACGTGGGTAAATTGGTCGCCATATTGGTCGTGGGGAAGACTTCCACCCGTGTCGAGCTTTGAGCCTGGGCGAGGCTGACGAGGGAAGTGAGAACGAGGGCGGAGAACGAGGGACGCATGTTTGAGTAGATTGTCGTTGAAGTTGAATTAATTGTTAGGGTCGAAGAGATTGTAGGTGAGAGTTCGTTGACAACGTGGTTCTGCGTGCATGTAATATGTAGGCTGTACAGATCGTCAGGAGAGCTCGGCTTGCCCACAAAAGGACTTTGCAGAATCGTGACTACCCTCTCGGACAGTTGCTTTTAGCAGCTTTGGCGTCGACGACTGATCGTTGGCTGCCCTGTTGCGACGCAACGCCACTCCTTTCTTGTGCATCACATGACGAGCTTCAGCCCCAGTTAGGCGTTTTTGACAGTTTTCTCGTATATGCTGTATGTATTATTGGATGTGGCTGGTTGTGGGGGAGGGGTTCAATAGGCTCGAATCGAAGCCCGGATGTAAGCTCGTATCACGATGCGTCTATCCCATCTTGGTATCGATGTAGCAAGTGCGGTGGCGGAGATTGAAGCAAAACGAAGCTTCGACAGCTATAAGCAAGATGGATCAACAGATGAGGATATATACACGAGTTGTGTCAGGTCAGATCTCGAAGAACGTGGAGAAAATAACTCCACACACTGAGGTATCAATGACGTTCTCACAACTGGCGTGTCGCTGATACTGCACCTGCTGAAAGTAAGCTGTGCTTGGAAGAGAAACTATGCAGAAATGGCGTATAAATAGACATGCCCAACATGCAGATCTTCTAGGGGAATTGGGCTGCTGAAGACATGGACGATCAGTACAGTAACTTCGAGACTAGCCCTCTCTGCCCTAACTATTAGGGTTTCCTGCAAATCGAATGTGATCATGCGTCGCGAAGGCTCTGGATGGTTCAGCTCTTCGTCCCACCTATCACCACCCACCACTTGCAGCCTGGCCAGTCCCGCCAGGCATCTAGAATAGCTTAGATAGAGTTTGCACTAGCGCCATGCACAACCCAATCTGCATGCAACTTTGCACGACTACCAGAACTAGAAGATATTGACGCGTGAGCAGAGCGGCGGCGGCGCCATGTTACCAATTTAACCACATTTGCAAGCATTGCGCAATGCGTTTCAGTTGTTGGTGTATGAAGAAATATTGTGCTGCAGGACAAGGAGAGGGTTGGGATACAATGGTAACGATGAACGGCTACTTGCATGTACGATGGATGGAGTGCAGAGGTGCCCGCTGTGGGGTCAACCACTGTCTGGCATCCTTGCAACCACGAGTGGATCAATGAACGCAGATTCGACGGTGAGTGGAAATTCGTGGTTCATATCGACAAGCTGGAATATACGTGTAACGTTGACGAGCTAATGAGGTAATGGTCATGGGGTTTGAAGAGTTGTCGGGCTTATGGAGGCGCATGAATGGAACTCGCACAATGGCGTCATGAGAATTGCGTCTCATAACAGTGAGACTGAAGCGGGTGATACAGTAACTCCGGCTTGTTTAAGTCTATTGCTCGTGACAGAACGGTAACACAAGATATAGGTGATACAGCGTACTTGTATTACTTCAAATTGTTCAGACAGTGGGAGACTGAAGCACAGAATGCCTATGCCATATGCCCATAGCGAGAATATTGTGCTATTTCTCCACGGAATCATACATACATGAAGGAAAAAAGGTGAATAGCAAAAGATAAATTAGAATCGTGAAATAGTCAACTATCTCTGAGCAGAACTCGTCTGCGCTAGACAAAGCAATACACAAAGCTACACTCCTAACAACATCTGTCATGATATCTCAACTCCTACGATATCACACCAAGTACAAAGCGATACTTTTCAACTCTCGACGCAACTCAGTCAACCGCAGACAACTTTACGCGAAGGAAAAGCTTAGTTGAGGAAGATCATAGCGGCAACGGCGCCGAAGATGAGCGCCAGAGGACTGGAAGCGAGTGACGCAGCTGCGCCAGTGCTCTCTGGGAGGGTAGCCGAGGAGGTGCCACTTGGCCTCGAGGTGGAGACGGTGCTGTTGCGGGTGGATGTCGAGCTGATGACACCGGATATGGAGGAAGCGCTGGTGATCATGGAGGAAGCGCTGGTGATGACAGCAGACGATGCGCTGGAGGCATGGCTGGATGAAGCGACAGAGGAAGCGGAAGAGGCGGCCGACGATGCAGCAGATGAGGCAGCCGACGAGTGGGCAGACGACACAGCAGAGGAGGCAACACCGGAGCCACCGCTCAGGCTGAACTGGGCAGAGTAGTTGACTTCAGATCCGCGTCGGATTTCAAGAGCGTAGTCGTTGTCGCTGACAAGGGTGGAAGCAACGTTCCAGGTGAATGAACCGCCAGTTGCCGTGGCTGCACAACATTAGTACTAATTGCACCAAACGAGTTACAGCAAAACTTACTGGTCAGAGTGCCAACAGTTCCGAGGTCACCGCTTGGGCCCTTGCGGAGGATGAAGGTAGTAGGAACGTTGTCGGCGGGCGAGTACGTTACAGTGTACGACTGTCCCGCAATGACACCAGTTTGCGGGTAGCTGTTGATCTGGATCACGGTGCTCTGGGCCAGGGCAGAAGCAATAAGGGCAGCGCCGGAAGCGAGGATCTGGAAGAAGCGCATGTTGATGGTTGTTGAGAATACGATTACGTGTGGAGATTACGAGTCTTGTATGGGGTATAAGTGATTATAGAAAGAGTGGCAGGCTTTTGTAGATGAGCAAGGAACGATGAGGGAAAGACTGTGGTGAGGTTGGTAGAGAAGGATGAAAGAAAGCAGATCGAAGACCTGGGTGCAGCTGACTTTTACCATGGTTCGCAGCCGGCTAGGACTCCAAGACAACGGCAAAATCGACAAATTAAATCCCCGAAGTAGCATAGTTGCTGGCTGGGGCTAGATGAAAATCAGGTACCTGCGCCAATCGGCGGTGCATGGCTCGCTCCAGCACCCCCCCTTTTCTTCAACAATGCCGGCCCAGGTATGGCACGCGCAGGACCAGACCCATTCAGCATACCCCCTTAGCGCCACCAAACATCCTAGTACAATTGGGTATACACTAACGGTGTTTGAGTCAGCTGATATAGGCATAGCTGGCCAACCAATAATCCGGGGAAATCCAGGGGCTGAGCCTGCATCTCTGCCTATCACAGTAACACTGTACCGCGCAGGAGGCGTCGAGACAGAGACGGGTGCGACATGACGGCTGCAGAATCGTGTAATACCGAAATGTGCATGAATAGGTATGTTGTTCGTCTGCGCGCGATGCTTCCTCACCGGCGCGGCTGTCGTGAGCTGATCCGTGCTTTCCTAATCCGTCAGACTCATCTCGACCCTCATTTCGCAGAACTGCCGCCTGTCACGTCATCAATATTCGGAGTGTGAGATAGGAGTTATCTTGTCGACAACCGCACACCGCGCGTCAACTAGCTGGCAAACCTGACATTGTTGAAGTTGCACCTGAGTCGGTCGTGATGGCATCTGTGTGTTAATAGGCGCGACGCCAGTGCCTGGTTGTTGAAATGCTGAAAAAGCTCGGCTCTTTTCCCACCAAGTACCGATGGCAGCGACATGTCTCATCATGTGACCGAGACCCATCGCCATCGAGCAATAGAGATGAAACAAGATGCGCCGACCCTAACATCTGCCTCAAGTACTACGATACAAGTACGCAAATGACAAGGAAATTATGGGCTGCGTAATGCAAGCAGTCCCTAGGTACTCTGGCATCTCAGAAGCCTGGCATCACCAAGAAAGACCTTCTCTTCGCATATGTGTAATTCCATAGGGTTGCATTGATTCATCCGTCCACTCTCGTTCATCTCATGGCTATCGTAAAGATACATGGTGGCCAAGAGTTCATGAACAACCATCAAAAGCTACCCACAGCGAGCTTCTCGAAGAAATCCAACGTGAAGACTTGGTGCTGTCATGGTCGTCACCTTTGAATTCCCCCTCGTGTCTCGAAGGTCTTCTATACCTCAAGCAAAGTCTTGAGCAGCCCAGTCGGCCTCTTGCTTGATGAAATCAGCCGCATCCTGGGGTAATGCCTCGCTGTCAGAAATGTCCATGTCCGGGACTGGAGCCTTCTTCGCACGTGCCTTGGGCGTAACCTTTGGTTTCTTGGTGGGAGTGGTGCCATCGTCGTCCGCAGTCTTGCGTTTCTTTGGGGTGGCGGGTGATGCCATGTCATCTGGAGACTGTTAGTGTACTGATGTACTTCACATTACACTACGCTTACTTCGCTTTTTGGCTGGCTGGACTGGCTCAAAGATCTCGCCGTTGTCAATGCGGGTTCTCAGCTCCTTTGCCCTAGCAAGGACGGAGCGGAAGTCGTGCTGGAAACCGCTGGCCGTCTTAGTTCCATCGAGCGAACTCATAAGCTCGTACTGCTTCAAGGAAAGGGATGTGGTGCCTGCGCTACAGAGAATGGCGGCGACCACATCTGCACTGAACATCTTCCCAGCTTTTGCAGCGCCTTTCACATCGACGGTGGACTTGGCCATGGTTTGATTGTGGATAAATCAAGAGTATGGTAATGAACCTCAAGGTATGACAATCGAAAAGTTGAGTGTTGGACTGAATTGCAGGGGATAAGCAATGAGCAGAGTAGGGGAATGAGGCGCGATTCAAATATGCATAGGCAAAGGCCAGTTGGTACCATCACGGTGAAGTGAAGTCGGGGTGAGATCAGCTCTGTTCACGATGAGGTGAAAGTAAGTGAAAGGCGAAACGGTCAGCAACGATAACAGTAAGTCGGGGTACTGTCACCACCTCTAGCCGCTTGCATTCGGCCTATGTACAGATTTGGGACGCTTTTCGTTTGCTACATCGATTGTTATTGCGTGCTTAATACTGTATCCAGTCTCCCATCTGGCTCAACATGTCCCGCTGTACTTCGAGCACCTTATTCAGATCTGGCCTATTCGGAGTTTCTTCCATACTCGCCCTCACCTCCTCGCTCAGTTCATCTGCCTTCATTTGAACACTCTGTGTGAATGCACTATTTGGACCATGGCTCAGTCGGGAAGCGTCCAGAACTTGTTTCACCAGCATCATTGCGATAAGACCCATATTGACATCTGGCGCCCCAACAATTCCCTCCGTATCTGCAAGGTACAACGCCAACATCGCCATTTGCCATGTTTGGACCACGCGCACAGGGTGGAAGTGGATTGGGTACAGTTTGGCGATAATATACTTGTACCGCTTTGCACATTGCGCCCATGCAATTTGATACTTTCCCACAGCGAACATCGTGACGATGAGATCGTCTCGGAACGCTGCGTATGGTTGACGATAGACTGGCCATAGTTTTGATTGATGACACAGACGCATACCGTCTTCAATTTTCTGCATAGCTGCTGCGGGATCTGGAATACGCTGCACGTCCTCATACTCAGCAAAGCTCTTTCCCTGGATAGCAGCGACTCGTTTTTCATCCAGAGACTCCCCAACGTAATTTGCAGGATCTTTCGCGAACGCTTCGTGTTGTATGATAAGATCGGCAACTTCTTTGTGTTTCTTAGCGAGGTTCTTTGGACGAATTGCCCATTTGTCTTCGTCAAGTGTGGCTCCTTTCTGGCACTTGCTGCATTTACAAGTGAAGAACCAGCGTGTTTTCAGTTCGCTTTGACGACGAGAGCAGGGATTCGTGTTATCGACGTAGGATATGTATATCTCTTCATCCTTTTTGATGGGCTTGATTGTTCTGACAGCGACTTCGGGACCGTCCATCATGATGTATGCATTTGGATCACAGGAGTGGTTAATATGGCTAAGTGTCGGATCTAGAATGATGCCTAAGGGATCCAGTGTGGGTGTGATCAGGGTCAAAGAGTTCGACAGTACCTTCTGAGGGTTAGAACAATTCGGTGGGAAGTTAAGTCTACTTACCCTTGCATACATGGCTGCGACAATCTCCTTGGAATATGTATTCTCTGTGAAGGAGAATGCACTGGCTCCCATCGCCATTAACTCGATTTGAGCGTAACTTCCGTTTTGCTGGAAGTCCTCAACATGCGGGTTCAGGTGACAGAGCATCTCCCAAGCTGGATCCGGTATGAGTCCCTGTTTCCGTCTGATCAAGATCTCCATACAAGCCCGCACGGCCTTGGGAATGTCCCTACTTGCTAAAGGCTGCAGATTCTTACACTCGTACTTATGTACACGGGTCCAAGCTTCTTTCTGACATTTCTGTCGTTGTTTAGCAACACTCAAATCGACGCAGAGCGAATCCTGCCCACCTTGCTGCAATATCGGACCATGCGGCACCCCGCGCAGGCGTGCACGCGGGTTCCTTCAGGCACATATAATCTGGCACCCATTGACGACCCTTCTGTCCAAACAAAACAGTTCGCACATGTATCTGACAGCCTTTCGGTATCCAACGATGCAAGAATTGGTCGTTTGACGGCCGTGACCTGTTCACCTGGTCCAAAGTCGACACCAGCGAAGAGCCCATCTCCCACACGCTCCCCTTGCTCGTTTAGACAAACTTCGGACTTTGCGATATAGACAGGCGACTTGGAATGATCGCCATTTGAGTTGTCAGCTACCTCTGTCATATTGATGGTATCTCCGGTCTTGGGTGGAAGGAGTGTCGGACACTCTTGTGAAGTGTTCGATACAACGACGAGTCATGCAATGTCCAAGCGCGTCCCAGTCTTGTCGCGAGGAAACATGAGCACGGGCGCGGAACTAATATGTCCTCTCACTCTGCTATTTCGGGCTATTACTACATATTTTGTAGGTCATTTTCTTATTAGCATAAGTGTGCTTATCTAGACGGAACTTCTGCACAAGTTCAATTTGCTGACCGAACACTTTTATTGCTAGATTACAACGGGAACAGAGCACGTACGCCCCCGCCATTGATAACGGAGACGCAAGAAGAAGCATGACAGACACCACAAGAGCGTTGCAATACCAAATTGATTTTATTTAGTCATTGTACAGCGATCTACCCACTGAACTCGCCACAATCACTCCTGTACATATTCTTCGTTGAGATTTATTGTAAGGTGGTCGAAACGGCATGCATCATCTCGCAGCCCTGCAAAGTTTCCCGTTTTGTGTCTGTACGCCTTGCTCCCCATCCTGAACCACCCATCTTTCACTGCCTACAGCAGTAGTCGCATAGAAAACGTCTCTTGGATCCCACTTCTTCTTGATCTCGCTTAATTTCGGGTAGTATCCTCCGTAAAATGACTCCTGCCAATCAGGCTCCATGACAGCTGCCTCGTTCAGATATGTGCCGCCACCTTCAGAAACTGGAGTAATATCGCGCCATGGCTGGAGGATGTTCTGCTGCAAGTCGTTGTTCGCTATGGCAAGGGCCTCAGGCGTCGAATGATCGAGGGACTTGTTTGAAGAGGTCACAAAGAACATCGCGCATTCACGCCACGCGGGACTGACAGCATTGTTGGTGTTCGCATACTTCACAGGCGCTTTGTGATAACCAAGGAAGTGCTTGCCGGATGAAACGTGCTTCTTGATAAGCGAAAATGTCTCATTGAACTTCTCCTGGAAATTAACACGTGGTACGATGCGATTTGCGGGCAGCGAGTTGTCGAGGCCGATAGGGAAGGAATTTGCTCCCCACGTCGACTGATATGCGGAATAAAAGGAAGTATGAGCGGTGTTCTTGTGTGGTGAGGTCAGCGTAATGTTGTTCATCTTGAGGTAGTCAAAAAATGGCTGAACCACTTTGTTGTACGACCCCTCAGTATGGTTCGGCGCGAAGAGAAACATCATGTTGAGAAACGGAGCGGGAGCATTGCCCATAATGAAGAAGGAATAGATGCCGGCATCGGCCCACTCCAGGAAGACGTCGAAGAACTTCTTCGTTCCAGCCCAGAAGCTGCTGAGATCGTTCGTTGTAGCATCGAGGACCCAGTTTGCTGTGACGACGTCAAGCTTGGGATGTGCTCGAATGATGACAGATGTGACTACGGCAAACGTTCCGCCTCCTCCACCACAAAGTGCCCAGAAAAGGTCGGGGTTCGATGCTTCGGAGACGGTGATGAAGTGGCCAGATGCGGTTACAACTTGGAACGCGACAACATGATCGGCCGACATGCCGTAGAGGCCGGCAAGAGGGTTTTGACCTCCACCAGTAATCATGCCACCAGCATATCCTACACTCTGAGGAGATATCGTTAGTGATTGATATTGCTAAGGTGAGTGAATAACTTACCCATGACACAGCACCGAGAACAGTGACATTGTTTTTGTCCGCAGCCTCATATACTTCCCTAACAGTCACGCCGGCAGCAAGTTTCAATGCTGGTCCTGAGTAGCCGGGTCCTTCGTAGTTCGGCAAAAAATCAATATCTTTCATATTGTGCGTCCACAAGCTCAGCGCACCTGCCCCAGAAGATTTGCCTAAGTAACAATGCCCAGTATTCTTGATGACAAGGCGAATGTCAGTGGTCCGAGCAAAATTGATAGCGAGCTGGATCTGTGCTACATTGGTCACCTTGACAGCATATTCTGGATAGCCGCCAATTTTGCAGTGTTTGCCAGTGGCGTTGACTATAGGCATGCAGGTTCGGCCCTGAAATATAGGCCACATCCCGGATGTCGGATCGCTGTGATGAAATAGGGGATTGGTGAAGTTGTTGATTACAGCCGAACACTCTGTGGCATCCTTGGCGCCCCATTGCGTATCGTAGCATGAAGCCGCTATAGGGACCGTCGGAATCAGGGCGCCTCCAAGGAACACGTTAAGAAGATCCCAAACGTAGTCTTTCGGCCAGGTAGAATCCCCAGGGAAGGTCTTGCACGATGCGAGTGTAGTACTACGTGTGAGCGTTTCATTGTTCTCGTCAAATGCGAAGTAGGCCGCAAATTGGGCTATATCCGTATGAGTTGCGATGTTTCCGATGACTGAGTCAGTTAATTGAAGAGTTTCTCCCTTTTGGAGAGGTGCTCCAGCGGCAGACGTGACAGGAACAAGAGTGGCTGCGGGCCCGATGTCGACAAACGAAGAAGATTGCGCAAAGACCATAGGCAGCAGGACCAAGGATAGGAAGTTGGTTACTAGTTCCGGAGACATCTTGATACCGATCATAAAGGATCGAAAACGGAGCTTAATAAAAGGGTAGAGGATGCGACGTATTCAATGGTGTGGGATTCTACTGCTTTATCTCACCGTCACTGCGCTACGGCTGTAATCACGCTTTGAGTCCATGCTTAATGTCGAGTGCTCTAGATCCATGAATGACTTTACTGAACGGCCAAGAGGATAGAAAAGGAAGGACGACGAACCAAAACTTCGGCAGGATTAGGGATCATACAAAGGATTCAGGATGCAGCAAGAGCAAGGGATGGAGGATCCAGCAAAGGATTCAGTAGCGGTAAAAGCCCCACTGTGAAGCAAGCAACTGATAGGTGAGCTGATACTGCGGTATTAGCTGTCACACAGACGAAAAAAGGTGTGAGGCCTTTTTGCGATCTATATACCCTTCCAAGACGAAGTTGCTTCTTTAACAGATCTAGAGTTGCCGAGTTTATCCTATGTCTCTATCATAAGTGCCGAGCACATCCGTAGGTGGACTCCCTCGAACCTTGGAATAACCACTGGTCCAGACCCTCGGAAGCAAGACGTGATGGGAATGTGCCTGTGAGCATAAGCCTGCGGCGTAGTTGTTGTCTTGACTCATTGAGCGAATCACGTCCCATACATATCCCTACATATGTCGCGTACTGCACGCCGGGTAGACGATAACCGTATAATCAACACATTAGCTTGAACAAACGACAGGTACGTGGTAGCTGGCAGGTGCTGGTTGTCTGAAGCAAAAACATGCACGTTTGAAGCATCAAAGAGTCTATGATTGCCACAACCAAGCACGACGAGAAGCAATTTCGATCCTTGCCTAGCGTCTTGGTAGGCAATAACATCCGTGGCGAAATGATCCTCGCGATATGAAACATTCCGTGTCACTACGGAGATCAAAAGATGATATTTCCTACTTACTGGTTTCGTTAATTGATGTGTTGATCCAGGAAGATATGCAGTTGGCTTTGATCCTGTTGCAAACAAAGATATAACATGAACGGGCATATCTCGATAATGTTACGGAGTTGATGCACTGTGAGTAAGTTTGTAGACATACTGTGATGACATATCATAGAGGAGTCCTTCATGGAGATTGTACGGAGCCAAGTGACTGTGGCAAGTGGAAATATGTTATACTGATTACGGAAGCTATCGTCCATTACCTACCCCGTCGAAGTGGTTCTTGAGAGGCACAGTCAGTGGCGTGATTTGAATACCAAGAGACGGTAGGATTAAAAAAACCCTTGGATACAAGTATGAGCATGATTCATTTCCAACTTCGTTAGCCGAAAGATTGGTTTGCCCAGCGTTGGAATGATACCATAACTATATTCCTGTTCTTGTTGTTGAGATGGTCCTGATTCCAGCCGTCTATCGACCATCACTGTCTCCTCACTATGGCCAGCACAGTTCTTCAGTCACTAAACTTCTTCCTGATTGTGTTTCCATTTGTCTTGTCTTTGTCGATCGTGATCGTCAGAATATGGCGGAAGTTGGTGGAAAAGACCTTGGCTATCGGTGAGTACAGTGTGAGCGTATGCACAGCCCGAACCTGGACCACGCTAATGGGCATGATCTATCCAGAAGATGCTCTTCTCATGGTCGCCGAAGCTTTGATAGCGGTACTCACAGCAACTATGTGGAAATGTATACAGCCGAAAACGCGCTTAGGGTGTCATGAGTGTTGATAATGAATACAGATGTCGTTGTGTCGTTCTCGGGTTTCCACCAGGAAGACATACCTGAAGGAGCTGTAAATCAGGTCAATGTGTTATACGTATGTCCTTCAACACGGCATTACCAATACGTGACAAGCTGACCCTGACCTTACAGTGGCGGTTCATCAACAACGCAATCTACAACCCAATTCTCGGCCTGGTTAAAATCTCGTTCTTGATTACGCTCCAGAAACTGCGCTCGCCAAATCGTATGATCACCGCTAGTTTATGGACGCTCATCATCATAAACGTTACATACATCTTCGCCGCTACGTTCGGCAGTATATTCATGTGTATACCAGTTCGAAAATCTTGGATCATGACAGAGACCGGCTCTTGTGGCAACCGCGCTCAATATATCTTCGGAGTTATTGGCGTCACAATAGCGACCGACGTATTGGTCACTATTATACCTGCCTGGATTGTCATCGACCTACGAATGTCGGTCAAGAACAAACTTGGTGTTATAGCCTTTCTCTCGCTGCCGCTTGCCGTCACCACAATCGCCTGCTACCGCTTGCATACTTTTCTGGTCGTTTTCAGCCTTCCTAAACTATCTGCAGAGGATCCGTATAACATACGCAATGCACTGTCGAACATAGAATCGAACCTCGCCGTGATCGCGACATGTGGGCCCACGATCAAGTGGATTCTAGGCAGGTTCATTCCGTGGCTTGACAGTACACGGAAAACAGATGCATATACACCACGATTTTCGTCGCACTTCCCGCAACGATTAGGCGGATACCAAAGGAATGTCTATGATATTGAACTTGATACTAGGTATCCTGACAATGTTCAAACATCATTATATAGAACAAGGGACGTAGAAGAGACGAAGGTACTACATTAGTGTAGATATAGGTGCTTTTCAAGACACCTTAACTACACGTGACTTTTGTAGTAGCCTATTAGTTAAAGATCTGCATCTTTAATATTATAGCATTTCAAGACATAGGTTAAAAAACTATTTATTTAAGGCGCGCGTAATTTAGTGTAGTTTAAATTTATATTCGGTGTAGCAATGTCTATTACTAAGGCTAAGAAACATTTAGTAGTAACTCTTGCGCAAGCAGTATTATAGCTATTTAGTAGCTAGATAATTTTCTAGTAATACTAAATTTACTTAGATAGTTATAGCTAAGATAATAGGCGTAATAAAAGTATTCTAACGTAGATATATAAGTAGATATAAAAGAAGTTTTAGTAGAAAAGCTAATATATAAGATTTTTGTTTACTAAGTACTAAACGTTTATATTTTAGAAAGTACTTAGAGCTATTAACTTATTCCTTGGCCTTAGTATTACGTATTACTATACTTAATAAAATTATAACTACACTAAATAATGCCTACCTTATCTAAAATATAGCTTAGTAGCTATAACAATTTTAAAACTACTTACTATTACTAATAATTAATTTTACGCTTTACTAAAATAGTTAAATAAGCTACGTTATAAAGCTAGGTAAATCTATATCTAAAAGTATTTACGTAAGCTTAATAACTACTAGATTTATTTACCTTTCTTTTAAGTTCCTAAAGACTTTGTTAATCGGTTTCTAACAAATAAAATAAACAAGAAGATATTAGTAAATAAGGTATCTAATAAACTTTCTTAATTTATTATTTAAGAAATCTATAAAATATACAAGATTAAAGCTTTTCTTTTATATTAAATAATTAATATAATAAGAAATTTTAAAAGTAAGTAATATATACCTATAGTAAGCAAGACTAAAAAGCGTTTTAAATATAGTAACCTAGAAGGAAATTAAGTTAAGATTTATACTTATTATTATAGAATATAATTTATATACTTTATTATTAGTTAGAAAGGTTAGTACTATAAGTAAACCTACTACACTGTATCTTATATAATTTATTATAAAGCTATAATAGTATAGAAGAGTAAAGATTAATTAATACCTTTATAAATTTGTTATAGAGGTTTTTCTTTTCAAAAAATATTTATTCTATTATATATACTTTTAATTTTAGTAGTAGATATAGTTAAATAAATCCTAAAATTCTATTTTTTTATTTTAAGTTTATAGCGTATCTATACTTAAAGTATAATTACGTTAACGTAATATATATCCTAGGGGACAGAGATTAATATGTTATATTACTATTATATTTTAGTTATACACGCGTTTTAATTACTTATTAGTTCTTATTATATATTTATACTAACTATAGTAGCTAAAGTTTAACCTAGTTATAACCCTCTACTTTTTATTACTATTACTATTACTATTACTATTATTACTATTACTATTACTATTACTCTAATATTTACTAGTCTTTATACTACTAATAGTATAAATAAGTTTTATACCTACTTAATTACTACTACTAATTTTATTTTCTAATTATAATACTTAAAATCTATAAAAGCTTACTTAAAGTAGCTCTTATTTAAGGTTAGAGTAGTATTATTATACTGCCTAGTAATAAGCTAATTAAGTTAAAAGAGCTAAATATTATAAAAATCCCTATTAGCCTTATAAATTTATATAGTAAAAAGCTAAACTTTAACTTTATAAAGCTTTACCTTAAGCCTATTATTAACCTTAAAGTACTACTAAATATTTAAATCTTTTATATAGAATATATTACTATATTAGCAAAAGTAGATTTTAATAGGCTATACCTAGAATATTCTTCTCTTTAGTAGCCTAGCTAGGTAGCTGTTTTTCTATATTTAAGTTCCTTTATAAGACTATAGTCTTTTTAGTATACGTTAAGGTACGTAATAGTGTTTATAGTTATAATAACTAGGTTATTCTTAATAGGTATTTAGCCTAGTAATATTTACCTAGGTTACAGAGGTACTTTATAAACTTAAGCTTTCTAGTTAGCCTAGTTACTTCTAGCACCTCTAGTATAAACTCTACTACTACTACTTCTATTACTCCTATTATTTCTATTATAACTATTATAACTATTATAACTATTATAACTATTATAACTATTATAACTATTATAACTATTACTACTATTATAACTATTACCTTAGCTATTACTGTTTCTTCTATTTCTTCTATAACCTTTACTATTACTATCTTCTCTATCTCCTCTATCTTCTTTATTACTACTATACCTACTATTACTACTATTAGCACTGTTATAATAGCTATTAACAGCCTATAAGTCTTAATAGCCTATATATTTCTTAAAGTACTATTAGTTCTAATTATTAAGGCTGTCTACTTAATTTAACTAATTTAGGAAATATTATATTAATAATTAAGCCTATTTTATTCTTTTTACTCTTAACCTCTTACTTACCTAACTATTTAGGTATTACTTTATTATATAAGAGTTAATCTTATTTATTAAGACTATATAGCTTTACTAATTAGACTATACTATACAGTTAACTAGAGTTCTTAACTATAACTAACTATATAACTTAGAGTATATTATATATCTTAAAAGATCTAAAAGCTCTCTCTACTTTTATAAGATATAATAGTATTATTGCTCTAAATATAGTTTACAGCTAGAATAGTTAAGTAAGATTTTATTTTATCTAAAAAACATTATAAGAAATAACTTTATTTATTATATTATATTAATTAGTTCTATATCTTCTATTTTATTCTCTTTATTCTCTGCTAACTTTTATTCTATAGCTTTAGCTATATATAGTTTATCTTTTAAAGAATATAAGTTAATTCTGCTTCTTTTTAAAGTAACTAGCTTATACTCTTTCTCTTTCTTAGTATATACTTTAGTATATTCCTATAATACTAGTATTTACTCTAGTATTAATAGCTCCTAATAATTTATTTCTTTATAAAAATAAACTTCTTCTCCTTTACTTAGCTAAACTATATATTAACTTATTAATAATATATACGTTATATTAGTAGATATTATAACTTATAGAAGATATTTATTAGATAAGTAGAGTTAAATAATAAGCTAAATTATTATTAATTTATATTTTATATCTATTTAAGTACTATATATACCTTTTCTTTTTATATCTACTTTATTCTTTTTAGTTTTAGCATATTACCCTTTTTAAGTAGGTTATACTTAAGACTTTCTTACTTCTCTTTATCCTTAATATCTATAAAAAGGTTATTAATACTATATTTAACTTTACTTACTTTAATAGTAATAGTTATAATATTTTTATAATAATATATAATATATAGTTTTATAATCTTCTTAAATTAATAATTAAGGAGCCTAATCTATACTTTAGAGTAAAACTCCTATATCTATTAAATAGTATAATAAGGACCTAAAATAATAAGCTTTAACTTAAAAAGTAAAGTTTAATATACCTTTAAGTAGGTTACTTATACCTTCTATAGTAACCTATTTTCTATCTAAGTTATATTTATTAATAGTATAATATATATAGTATTCTACCTATATAACTATTAGACCTAAGATATCTTTTACCTAAAAGCTTAATACTTTATAGTTAATAAGTGCCTATCTTAATTTACCTTTCTAAAATACAGCTACTAATATTATAATAAACCTAATATTCTTAAATTAACTTAATTTAGGCTATTAAAGTTAGTAACATCTAGTTACTATATTAAAATAGTATATACTATACTTAGATTAGGTAATAAGAATTTAAAGTCTAATATTAATTCTATTAGGGTTTATCTTTATAACTAAGAGTTTATAAGTAAATAGGCTACTATAATATTATTCTAAACTACTTATATAATATTAGTATATATCTTATTAATATTATCTATAAGCTTAGTAAATTAGTGTAATTACTCTTAATAGTATAGGTAAGACTTATATTTCTTACTACGTACTTATCTAGTTCTTTAGTAATATTATTCCTTAACTTAATTACTATTTACTCTCTAGCTTTTATCTAGTAAGTACGTAAGAAATTCTATAAGAAAGGCTAGTTTAAGTCTATCTAAAGGTATAATTAATTATTATCTATCTATAATAAATTATCTCTAGCTAATCTTCCTATTATAATTATTTTATATATTAATATAGTCTATTTATTAGAGCTATAAGAAACTTTTATAGTAGTATATTATTTTACTCTATTTTATAGGAATATCTCTATACTCTGTAGTTATATTAATAGTATTAGGTCTACGTATTTATTCTTTAATCTCTTTAATTATAACTTTCTTCTATAGTACCTTAATACTATATATATTATATTAATAGTAGTAGAGAACTAAGTCTTAGGAATTTATAAAATACTTAAATTAAGTCTACTATAAACATTATCTAGAGTCTAATTATTTATCTACAGTATCTAGAATCTAATTAGTATACCTTATACTACTCTTTAGCTTCTAGGTTGTATATTATACCTACTATAATTACTTACTATTTATCTAAAAGCTTAAATAGTCTAAAGCTATCTTAGAAGTAGTAAAGTATCTATAGTTAGCTTAGATTATTTAAGTATTAATAATAAAATATATAACTCTGTAAGAAGTTATTATAAATAAAAAAAGAAAGAAATATATTAGTTTAAATTAGAAAAAGTTAATTTCTATAGTATTATTTTATTAATATTATTCTCTTATTTTATTAGTTTAATAACAGCTAAGCACTATTAAGTTTTATTATTAGCTATTATCTTTTATTAACCTTACTATTATTCTATTTATATTTATATACTAACCTATTAGCTTAAGGATAGCTAAGTTCTATTAAGATATATTATTTATAGTCTTTTATCTAACCTATTATTTTTACTTATATCTTATCTTAAAAAAATAAGTTAATAGAAATTACCTTTTAAGCTACTTACTAAAAAAGAAAGCTATAATAATACTTTAACTCTAGATATTATAATCTTTCTATAAGACTAGATAATTTTCTATATTTTACTCTACTTCCTCTAATATATTATACTAGATTACGCTGCCTATATTACTCTTTTAGACTTCTAGGTTAGAATTAAGTAGTTTTACTAAGCTACTATAACCTTATACTATTTCTTAAAGTATAATAAGCTAATCTCTTAACTTATAGTCCTATTCTAAGCCTATATTCTTATAGATACTAAATATTATAGTAATAAAGTTATCTAAAATAGGCTAGTTTAGACTAAAGTATTACTAAAGCCTAATAATAGTATAGTTAATATAATAGTATATATATATAAGTATAGTGTCCTATAGGTCTTTCTGCGCTTAATTATAGCGTAGTCCTATAAATATTAGTAATAATTATATATTATTCTAAAATATATACTATATTAGTATATTATAATTATAGCTTAAGTATCTTTTAAGCTACTTAAGTACTCTTTTAGCTTTTTATTAATAGTTAGGCTTTATTCTAGTTAGTTAGGCTTCTAGGTTAAATAAATATTAAGGCTAACGTTAGGCTTATCCTCCTATATAGTTATATCTATACCTATTATTTTTAATAAACGCTAGAGAAACTAGTTATATAGACTTAATAGCTTTCTAAGTCTAGCTATTAAAGTAATACTATAAGAGTTATTAATAAAGTTATCTTTATTAAAAATACTTAAGAAGACCTCTATAGTAAGGTAGTAAACTAGTAAGTCTAAATATTAATAAATAATAGTGTTAATAGTATTATAGCCTTTATTATATAAATAAAAGTATTATACGTATATTTAAGTAATAAAATTATACTAATCCTATTAGACTTAATTATATTATAATTCTTATATTAGCAGAATAGTATTATATAATTTACTAGGATAGAAGTTTAATTATAAATATAGTTCTAGCTAATATAAAGGTAAGTAAGTCCTCTAAGGCACTATACTATTATATCTTATTTAAGATATATATCTTTATACATCCTAAATTAATTGTAATATAGTAATAAATACCTTTAATTACCTAATTAAACCTATTTTCTCTTTTTAGGATCTTTAAGAATATATCTAGGCTAAGACTATTTACTACTATTATTCCTAGTAGGTTAGATTATTAGGTTATCTATTTTACCTATATTAATGTTACTATATATGTTTTATTACAATATATAATAATTAACTAGATCTGCTATTACTTAATAGTATTATATAACTGTAGTATAAGGTTACTAGACTGTAGTACTATATTAAGAACTATTATTAGAGGTATTTTTATACTAGGAGATAAAGACTATACTGTATTTTATTTTATCTAACTTAATCTTATATTTTAGTTATAAATCCTTCTATTTATATTATAATTATACTATATTATAAACTGTATTATAATATAGATATACTCTTTAAAGGTTTTTTACTAAAATATTACTTAAAATTAATTATATATAATATTTAAAATTTATTATATATAGTCCTTAGATACTTTAGTATAGAGCAGCTAATATAATACTCCTCTTATAGTTATTTCTTACTTAACTAGTATGTAAAGTGTATTATATTCTTATTTAGAAATATATAAGTCTTTCTATAGGTAATTTCTACAGTTTAATATAAGTTATAATTGTGTATAGGTTATTTAGTAATAAGAATTATAAAAGGAGTTAATAGTATATAGTTATTAGCTTTATATATTATAAATTCTTAGAGTTAGAGATTATATTATTCTATATCTATATATATACTTATGCTAGCTAATATTACTTCTTACCTAAAGAGCTTAAAAATTTTAAGTATAATTTATCTACTTTTATATATTTATTTAAAAAATTCTAATTACTATATATTAGTTCTTTATATTATATCTTTATATAGTAGTATTATAAGTAAGATATATCTATAGTTATCTTTAATTGCTTTTCTGTTTATAACTAGTAACCTAGATAAAAGAAGTTATACTAGATTATAAGTACCTACTCTTTCTTACTAGTAGGTATCTTAAAGATAGTAAACTAGCTTTTACCTTAAAGCTCTAACCTATTAGAGTAATAGCCTTTATATAATATAAGCTAGGCGTAAACCTTTATAAATACTTATTACTTATAATAGTATTATATAATCTAAATATTACTAACTTTATTATCTACGTTCTTATTAACCTTATATATAATAATATAAAAGAATTAGTAGGTAGTATTAATATTAATAATCTACTTTACTACGCCTTAGTCTTTATTATAGAATTCTAATTTTATAAGTATACTATTATAGATTCTATAGTAATTACTTACTATATAGTACTAAGATAGTAAATAGTATAGGTCTATTAGTAGCACTAGTATAAGAGGTAGAATTACTAATATTCTATACTAGTCTACTACTCTCTTAGGCTTAGAAGCGTTCTTATAAAGATTGTATTACTATAATTAATAGATAGTATATTTAAATTAATATATAATATATAAAGTAAGTAGTAGAAATATAAGTATATATAGAGTTAATATATATCCTAGTAACTACGCTAGCGTAGGTAAAGGTAAATAGTACTAGGTAGTATTTATAGAACTATACTACTATTTATTCTCTTCTTCTGCGTTTATTCTAGTATATATATATAATATTCTTCTACTTCTTTTTAAATTATAAAGAGTATAAACTATTATATTAATACTAGTTAATATAGTTATTAATAAAGAAAGAATTAATCTCTCTATTACTTTTAAAGCTAAAGTATTTTAGAATAAAGTAGGTAGAGTAAAGAACTAATTTAAAATTATAATATTTAAATAATTATAGTTTATATAGTTAAGATAATAATATAACTAGCTATTACCTTACAGATAGTATACTAGTAGTTTTATTAATCTAACCTCTATTTTCCTATTTTATAGTCTTAGTAAACGCACCTAAGTATTCTCTAGATTTCCTATCTATAGACTAGATTTCTGTATTAATAATAGTAAATATTAGATAGAGCTAAGCTATAAGGTAGCTTCTAGTTATAGTACTAGCCTATTCTTTACTATTATTATTCTTAAACTCTTATACCTAGATATAGTTATACCTTAGCCTATCTTTATTCTGCTACGTAGATATATAGTATATTAATATACTATTTCTGTTATTAGCGTTATTATATCTCTTACTAGTATATATCTAGCTCTTAATTAATAGATAGATCTTTAGCTATAAATTCTTTACCTATAATAGATCTACTTTATGTTAGTCTTTATTATCTATAGGCTGTAGTTATTATTAGGCTTTTAGATAGTTTTACTAGATAAATACTATAAGTAATTTAATAAAGTCTAGCAGCTCTATATATATATTAATATCTCTAACTAAAAATAATTAAGTATACAGATATATACTTAGTATAGTAAGGTTAGTATCTTTAAAATATAGTACTTTACTAAGACTTAATATAAATATTTATTCTATCTTATTTATACTAGTAATTAGTTTTAATCTCTTATACTGTAATATATAGTCTACTACCTATACTACAATCTTTTATAAAATATATAGATATATCTAAGTTAAGAAATCCTATTTATTTATAAGGCTATAGAATCTCTTAATATAATCTATATATTAAGCCTCTCTATTTATACCTATACAGAGGCTGTCTAATATACTAAAATACTATATATTATCTTTAATATACTATAGTATATACTACTTTAGATAATTAAAGTATAAACTAAGTTCTTTATTCTTTTCTACTTAGTATAGTTAAAATTCTTCTTTAAGTATATTTAATCTTTTTATAAATAAGTAGATATACGTAAGTATATTATTATTATAGTATTAGTATTAAGTAAAAGTTATAAGGTTATATACAGCGCGTATAAAATATAGTATATATAGTACATTTTATAATATTAGAGGTATAAGGACTATAATAAATTACTTAATAATTACCTTTTATTTTTTACCTATCTACTATACTACTTTACTAAACTATCTAGTGCCTATACTAAAGCGCTTTAGGTCTATACTAAAACTAACTTATTAAAATCTAGTATTAAGCTAGAAAACTCTATTTTTATCTTCTAGTAAAAATTATATTTAGTACTTTAATTTTCTTTTATCTAGATATATTTTAGTAACTATAGACTATACCTAGCTAATAGTATATATAATAAGACTTTTAAGGAGTAAGTAAAGGTTATCTATTAAAAGTAATTAATAGATATTAAAGTATTTATATTTCTAAGCAAAGTTATCTATAAGATATACTTAACTATTATCTAACTTATTAATCCTACTATAGGTCTAAGCTTTATATTATTACTATATTTAAAGATAATCTTACTATATATAAGAGGCAAAAAGATTCTCTCTTTTATCTAGAAGGATAGTATATTAAGTATACTATTAGTTCTTTTTAATACCTATAAGTAGAACCTATTCCTTATAATTAGCTAGAATTATATATAATACTAAGAAATAGAATCTAGCATAACTATTTATATATTTTAAGATAATACCTTTTAATACTAACTACTCTAGTGCTGTAAAAGACTATTAACTACTATTTAAAATATTTAAGTACTATACTAACTTATACTATAGAACTTAACCTATATAGTAATAATATAACCTACTTTTTATATTATCTTTAGTTTTAGTAGTAGATAGAAGAAAGCTAGCTAGTAATATACCTAGTATATTATATAACCTCCTAGCTTTACGTAATAGATTACTTATAGTAAGGTAAATTAGCTAAGCTAAAATATTACCTTAATATAATAATAACTATATCTTATTTATAAATAATAGAACTAGAACTACTATAGTACTAAGGAGTAGATTCTATTATATCTTCTACTACTAGTTAGCTAAATACAGTTTATAAAATAATTAAATAGGAGGCTTAGTATTATTATTATACGTATAAGATAAAGTATATATAAGATAGTCTTTAAATAGACTATAACTAAGAATAAAGGATATTAGGTCTACTATATCTTAATATATTAGCTAATATTCTTTCTTTAAGCTGTTAAATACTATATATATTATATTCTTATAAATCTAATTATTCTCTGTTAAACTTAATAGAACTTAGTTTATTATATCTTACTATTTATTACTATTTTTAAAGCTTAGCCTTTTATAGAGTTTCTCTAGTCTAATATCTTTAAATAAATCTTAGATAGTGCTCTTAGAATAATATATACGCTATAGCTAGGCTATAAATGTATATAAGAATTTAGAGTTAAATACGCTATCTATAGTATATCTATATATCTTATTCTATATTTTAACTATGTTATAAGTATAATTTAACGTACTTTATCTCTAACAGCTTTAGCCTTATAGTTAGGTATAGTATACCTGCTTACGCGTTGTATTTTATTAGAAATAACTCTATCTATAGTTAAGATATTATTATTAACTATAAGCTAATATAATTAGACTTATAGTTATTAATATCTATTAAATATAGTTATATTAGAACTATATAATTATTAATATTATCCTATTACTTCTTATTTAGTAGTTCTTATATAAGGTTTTCTATAATAGAATTATATTTAATATATTTTTATTAAAGTGTATAGTCTTATCTAGATTATTATTAGAGCTACTAGTACTTTTGTTAGATAAGTATCTATTAGTATATTTAGGTTTATATTATTAGGTAGAAGGTAGTTAGTAGATATAACTAAAATTTTTGCATATATAAGCTATTACATACTTAGTTAGGCCTAAGAATATAGGCAGTTAAAATCTACATAATTTATAAGTTTAAGAAGATATCTTAGTTATAATCTAGAAGTTTTATAATATAATATAACGTAATAGAGTACTTAACCTAACAGCTTACTAAAGCTTAAAGTCTAAAAACTTAGCTATATATAGTACAGCTTAACTCTATTAGTAATAATTATACTTTTAATAATATTTTCTACTAGAATATTAAATCTATACTAGCTCTTCTATAACTAATATTTAATATAAGATTATAAAGCACTAAGAAGGCTGTATCTACAGTATAGTTATTACTAATAAGGTTAAGCTATACTATATATAGCTAAGTTTTTAGACTTTAAGCTTTAGTAAGCTATTAGGCTAAGTACTTTATTATATTATACGTATTAGTAAATTACTACTCTATTTACTAATTCTAAGACCTCTATTATTAGATTATTATTTTCCTATTCTTTTAAATACTTCTAACTAGATATACTATAAAACTAACTTAGAAGCTCTAGATAAGTATATATAACTAATTATAAGATAATATAACTTTAGTATTACTTATAATAATGCTTATACTAGTAGATAGTTATAGACTATCTTAACTATTCTAGCTATTCTAACTGTCTTAACTGTCTATAACTACTATAATAACTATTACTAATAATAATAAATACTCTAGATATTATATATTCTTTATATTAAAGCTTTACTAGTATACTAGATAGTATATTTCTATAGTTTATTTTAGTACTCTTTTGTTTAGAAAATATTCTATAAGCGTTTTAATCTTATATAGAGTATTATAATATTACTACTAGTACTTTTTATTACTATTACTTTTTATTAAGGAATATAGTATAAATCTTTTTTAGATATAACTATAATAAACGTAATCTTCTTATACTACTATTCTTATTAATTACTCTATTTTCTTATCTAATTTTATCTTATATATTACTATTATATTTATGTTTCTTTATATATAGCTATATATACTAGCTACCTTTATTATACTATTAGTTATTATAATCTTACCTTTATTTATTCTAAGAAATCTTACCTACTTTTACCTATTTACCTTACCTTATATATAAACTAACTAAGTAAGTAAACGTAATAGCATTAGTTCTATATTAAGCTACTTTAGACTAATAATAACTTTATTACTATTACTATACTACTACGTATCTACCTACTACTATAATATTATACTTATATCTATACCTACTGCGCTTTCTTTATTTATTTATATACTATCTCTACGCTCTTTATAAAGTAGTAGAGGCGTTTATATATAGCTCTAGTAAGTTAAGATTTTTACTACTTCTATCTATAGTTATATAGTTTATTTACTAATATACTTATTATTATAGATTACTTATACTAAGTCTAATCTATAAAGCTACTAACCTATAAGTAATATAGTATATTCTATACCTATATTTAATTTAACTACTTTAATAAATCTACTATAACTCTAATAGTAGTATAAAGATAAGGTAGTAAAAGCTAAGAATAATACTTTTAATAAAGAGGTTATTACTAAAGAGCTTAGCTTAAGTTTAACTTTATAGAATCTAGTTATATATAATATTATAAAGTATATATAGTAATACTCTAACTTTAAAGATTTTAAAGAGGGTAAAGAGTAGAGTAATACCTTAAAAGTATTTAGAAAAGTAAGTTTTAAAGAATAGTATAAAAATATAATACTATATATACTTATAGACCTAGTGTAGGGCACTGTAAACAGGTAATTAAGATATAGGACAAATAGGTATTTATTAAAAGATTAGACAAATCCTTAGGGTATAAGCCCTAGGGATTTGTAAGTACTATATACTAGAGCTCTAAGGGCCTTATACCCTTAGCCTAGAGGTCTACTAAAGGTAGGCTAACAGGAGCTTAGATAGAAATACCTATAATAAAGCCCCCCCCCTTCTTATAGTTTATCCTAAACCGCCAGAATTTTTAAAGTAGATAAATAGGTATTTAATTTATATAGTTACCTTAATTAAACTCTGTAAAAACCTCCTATAGAGGGAAAATAGTTTAGAAGAAATTTAGTACTAAATTATTTAAGTTTTTCCCTAGGCTAGTCCTTAGATCTAGCCTAGGGGCCTACTGCGCTAGGCCTACGTCCTTATTACTAAGTCTTTACAACTTTAGTAAGCATAGCCTAGTTTATTATAGGTAACTGCTAGGCCTCTATAGAGGGTCCTATTTACTATTATCCCTAGATTATAATCCTTAGGGGTATAGTTATACTTACTATATGTTATTATTAGTAACTTTACATTTATAAGTTTTGCCTTATTAGGCACCTATTAACTATATAGATAGTTTATTAGGCTCTGTTACTTCCTTAGCCCTGTTCTAGGGGCTTTATAATACGTAATTATATAAAGTAAGGGCTTAATATAGAGTTTACTTATAATAATTTATTATTTACTTACTCTATTATTATAGTTAGTGTTTACGCTAACTTATATAATTATTTACAGGCTAGCGTTATCCTTATAAGGTATATTACTAGTAGCCTCCTTAGAGGTTTATCCTATACAGGTAGCACTTACTTTAATATTAGTACCTATTATACTCCCTATAGAGTTTATAACTATAGTTCCTTTATAGGGGTCTATTAGCTCTCTGTAAGTAGTCTACTAGGTATAGTTCTAGTATCTTAGGCAGTGTTTATTATTTATTTATATTATAATAACTTTTTATAGTTATTAGTGTACGTAAAGTAAGGTAAAGTAGTATAGTATTATAGTAGTCCTAGAGGGCCTACACACGTATACTAGATAGGTATAAAATACCTACGTATTACCTTATAACTCTAATATTACTATAATAACCTTCTTCTTATTAACTTACTATACTTCTGCCTTTCTATATTAGTAATATACCTCTACCTAAGTAGATCTACTAGCTCCCTACTAGTATAGCCCCTTAGCCTACCCTTACTTACTTCTAGTATATAGGCTATATTAACTTTCTTACTACTACCTCCTAAAAGTGCCTTTCTAACAGCACTATTATATTATTTTTTAAGCTATAGTAGGGTAATAAGCTGTACTGTAAATATAAGGCTAGTTAGGATATCTATAGCAGTTATTCTAATACTAAGACTAGAGGTTATACTAAGGTAAGTTTCTTATTCTATTCTATCTATACTTTATCTATTACTAACCCTAATAGATTCTACCTAAGTTCTATTATACTATTAACGTCCTTAACTACTACCTTAAGTATACCTTATATAAGACTTAGGAGTTTACTAGCTTTATAT